CAGCACAACACTCTCATCATGTTTTCCTGTTGGATATTTATCTCCTTTACATTTTTCTTGATGTGATGGTACTGGAAATGTGATGGGCAGTGTATTTATTTATCACCATATCTCAGTGATCTAAATAGTAGGAAAACAAGTACCCCTAGGGGCCCTCCATCTGCCATATCGGTTGCAGCGCCCAAGGGGCCCCTCGAGGGGTATTGGTTACAGTCCCTCCCATTGGCGCCCCAGGGACGTTTCAGAGCTGGTGGCGGTCCCAGTGTACCTCCCATGTTTGGCAGCATCCTAGGGGCCCTTGCAGGGCCAGGGGCAACAACGGGACCTTTCAAAGTGGCAGTGCCCCAAGGGGCCCTCCTAGGGGAGGCAGTGCCAGCAGGGGCCCTCAGGGGTGGCGGGGCCTCCAGGAGCTCCACAGGGACGGCAATGACCCCAGGCTTCCCCTTCTGGGGCTTTTCCAGGTGCCTCTTGCCAAGGGCCTCCAGGGGTGGCGGAGCCGTGGGGTCCCTTCCAGTGGTAATCCAGGGGGCCCTCAGAGGCAGTGACGACTCAAATGCCCTCCAGAGGCAAGCGCCCCTAGCCTCCCAGGAGGCGCTCAGGGGCCGCCAGGGCCGGTTGAGCCGCCAGGGTTTTCCCAAGAGCAGGCGCCCCTAGGGGCCCTCCCGAGTGGCCCTCCCCCAGGGCCCCTAAAAGTATCATACATAGTGCATAAGTCCAGTAATCACTTACCTAACTTGTGATTGGTGGATAAAGCAACCAAATAACAGTAATAGGGAACAGAGTGTTCAGTCAGCACAACACCCCAACTTGCAGATTTCCTGTTGGATATTTATTCTCCTACATGTTTAAATGCGATGATCCTGGATATGTGATGGGCAGTGTATTCATTTCGTCATATCTCCCAGTGATCTAAATAGTGGGAAAACAAGTACTAATTGCCCTAAAAGGACAGTGCTAGCTGGGGCCCTCCATTTGCCTATCAGTTGCAGCGCCCTAGGGGCCCCAGTGATGGTGTACCTGGGTCCTCCCATTGGCGCCCGAGGGACGTTTCAGAGCGGTGGCGGTCAGTGTACCTCCCATGTGGCAGATCCCCAGGGGCCCTTGCAGGGGCGGGGGCAACAATATGGACCCTTCAAGGTGGCAGTGCCCAAGGGCCCTCCTAGGAGGCAGCGCCAGCAGAGGCCGTTTCAGGGGTGGCAGGGTCTCCAGGGCTCCGGGACGGCAATGACCCGAGCTTCCCTTCTGGGGCTTTCCAGGAGCCCCTGGCAAGGGCCCTCCAGGGTTGGCGGAGCCGTTAGGGTCCTTCAGGGCGTGGTAATCCACAGGGCCCTCCCAGTAGTGACGGGGGGCCCTCCAGAGGCCAACGACCCCAGGGCCCTCCTGGGCGACAGCGCCCCCCTCAGTGTCGGTTGCGCCGCCAGGGTTTTCCCAAGCGCCAGCGCCCTAAGGGCCTCCAGTGGCACCTCCCAGGGGCCCTCCAAATTGTGTCATACATAGTTATAAGTCCAGTAATCACTTACCTAACTGTGATTGGTGGATAAAACAACCAAATAACAGCCAATAAGAACAGAGTGTTCAGTGTACAACACCCCAACTTATGTTTTCCTGTTGGATATTTATTCTCCTTTACATTTTCATGATGGAGTAATGTGAAAATGTGATGGGCAGTGTATTTATTATCACCATATCTCCCAGTGATCTAAATAGTGGAAAACAAGTACCCCAGGGCCCTCCCATCTGCCATATTGTTGCAGCGCCCTAAGGGGCCCCTCAGGGTATTGGTGTACACGGTCCCTCCATTGGCCCCAGGGGACGTTTCAGAGCTGGTGGCGGTCCCAGTGTGTCCTCCCATGTTTGGCAGCATCTCCTAGGGGCCTTGCAGGGACGGGGGCAACAACAGGGACCCTTCAGGTGGCAGTGCCCCAGGGCCCTCTGGGAGGCGGTGCTAGCAGGGGCCCTTTCAGGGGTGGCGGGGCCTCCGGAGCTCCACAGGGACGGCAATGACCCCAGGCTTCCCCTTCTGGGGCTTTTCCCGGTGCGCTCGCATGGGCCCTCCCAGGGGTGGCAGGAGCCGTTGGGGTCCTTCCAGGGGGGGTAATCACAGGGGCCTAAGAGGCAGTCAACTGACTCTCAAATGCCCTCCTCCGGACGACAGCGCCCCAAGCGTCCTCCCAGAGTGGCGCTCAGGGCCCAGGGCCGGTTGAGCCATGAGGTTTTCCCAGAACAGCGGCGCCCTAGGGGCTCTCCAGTGGCACCTCCCCAGGGGCCCTCTAAGGTATCATACATAGTGCGCAGTCCAGTAATCCACTTACTAACTGTGATTGGTGGATAAAGCAACAAATAACAGCCAATAGAGAACAGAGTGTTCAGTCAGCTGCATGCCCCAACATATGATTTCCTGTTGGATATTTATTCTCCTTTACATGTTTCGTGATGTTGGGTAAGTCCTGGATATGTGATGGGCAGTGTATTTATTTAACGTCATATCTCCCAGTGATCTAAATAGTGGGAAAACAAGTACCCCTAGTGCCCTAAAAGGACAGTGCTAGCTGGGGCCCTCCATTTGCCATATCAGTTGCAGCGCCATGAGGACCCCCGAGGGTATTGATGTACACGGGTCCCTCCCATTGGCACAGGGGACTTTTCAGAGCTGGTGGCGGTCCCAGTGTACCTCCATGTGTGAGCATCCCCAGGGCCCTTGCAGGGACAGGGGCAACAACAGGGACCCTTCAAGGTGGCAGTGCCCCAAGGGGCCCTCCTAGAGGCGGCGCATGAGCCCTTCCAGGGGTGGCAGGGCCTCCAGGAGTCCACAGGGTTGGCCATACCCCAGGCTTCCCTTCTGGGGGCTTTTCCAGGGCCCCGGCGCCCCGCAAAGGGCCTCCAGGGGTGGCGGGCCGTTAGGGTCCTTCAAGGGGCGTGGTAATCCACAGGGGCCCTCCCTAGTAGTGACGGGGCCCTCCAAGAGGCGTAACGACTCTAAGTGCCCTCCTGGGCGACAGCGACCCCAAACGTCCTCCTAGGGTGGTACCTCTCCAGGGGCCCTCTAAAGGTGTCATACATAGTGCATAAGTCCAGTAATCACTTACTTAACTGTTGATTGGTGGATAAACAACAAATAACAGCCAATAGGGGAACAGAGTGTTCATTCAGCACAACACCCCAACTTATGATTTCCTGTTGGATATTTATTCTCCTTTACATGTTTCGTTGATGTGATGATCCATATGTGATGGGCAGTGTATTTATTTAACGTCATATCTCCCAGTGATCTAAATAGTGGGAAACAAGTACCCCCTATGCCCTAAAAGGCAATTGCCACTGGGGCCCTCCATTGCTGTATCAGTTGCAGCTCCTATGGGCCCCTGGGGGGTGTCGGTGTACACAGGGTCCCTCCCATTGGCGCCCAGGGGACTTTTCAGAGCCGGTGGCGGTCCCAGTGTACCTTCCATGTGTGGCAGCATCCCCAGGGGCCCTTGCAGGGGCCAGGCAACAACAGGGACCCTTCCAAAGGTGGCAGCGCCCAAGGGCCCTCCTGGGGCAGCGCCTGGCTCCTTCCAGGGTGGCGGAGCCTCCAGGAGCCCCACAGGGGTTGGCAACTACCCCAGGTTCCCTTTCAGGGTCTTTCAGGGGCCCTGGCGCCCAGGGGCCCTCCCAGGTGTGCGGAGCCGTCAGGGTCCCTTCCAGGGGCGTGGTAATCCAGGGGCCCTCCCAGTAGTGACGGGGGCCTTCCAAGAGCAGCAGCGACTCCAAGGGTCCTCCTTGGGCGACAGCGACCAGCGTCTGGGGGGGTGTTTGGGGCCCCAAACGTCCTCCTAGGGGTGGTACCTCTCCCAGGGGCCCTCTAAAAGGTGTCATACATAGTGCATAAGTCCAGTAATCACTTACTTAACTGTGATTGGTGGATAAACAACCAAATAACAGCCAATAGGGGAACAGAGTGTTCATTCAGCACAACACCCCATCTTATGTTTTCCTGTTGGATATTTATTCTCCTTTACATGTTTCGTGATGTGATGATACTGGAAATGTGATGGGCAGTGTATTTTTTTAACGTCATATCTCCCAGTGATCTAAATAGTGAGAAAACAAGTACCCCCTATGGCCCTAAAAAGACAGTGCCCCCTGGGGCCCTCCCATTTGCTGTACCAGTTGCAGCTCCCCTATGGGTCCCCTGAGGGGTATCGGTGTACACAGGGTCCCTCCCATTGGCGCCCGAGGGGACTTTTCAGAGCCGGTGGCGGTCCCAGTGTACCTTCCATGTGTGGCAGCATCCCCAGGGGCCCTTACAGGGACGGGGGCAACAACAGGGACCCTTCCAAAGGTGGCAGCGCCCCAAGGGGCCCTCCTAGGGGAGACGGCGCCCGCAGGGGCCCTTCCAGGGGTGGCGGAGCCTCCAGGAGCCCCACAGGGTTGGCAACGACCCCAGGTTCCCTTTCACGGTCTTTTCCTGGGGCCCTGGCGCACACAAGGGCCCTCCCAGGGGTGGCAGAGCCGTCAGGGTCCCTCCCAGGGGCGTCATAATCCACAAGGGCCCTCCCAGGAGTGACGGGGGCTCTCCAAGAGGCGGCAACGACCCCAAGGGTCCTCCCTTGGGCGACAGCGCCCCGAAGCGTCATCCCAGGGCCGGTGCCGCCCCCAGGGACCCGCCCAGGGCCGGTTGAGCCGCCAGGGGTTTTCCCAGAAGCGCCGGAGCCCCTAAAGGCCCTCCCAGGGGTGGCATTTCCCCCAGGGGCCCTCTGACAGGTGTCATACATAGTGGATAAGTCCAGTAATCACTTACCTAACTGCGATTGGTGGATAAAGCAACCAAATAACAGCCAATAGGGGAACAGAGTGTTCAGTCAGCACAACACCCCAACTTATGTTTTCCTGTTGGATATTTATTCTCCTTTACATTTTTCATGATGCGATGGTACTGGATAGGTTATGGGCAGCCTATTTATTTATCACCATATCTCCCAGTGATCTAAATAGTGGGAAAACAAGTACCCCCTAGGGCCCTAAAGAGACAGTGCCCCCTGGGGCCCTCCCATTTGCCATATCAGTTGCAGCGCCCCTAGGGGCCCCCCGAGGGGTATTGGTGTACACACGGTCCCTCCCATTGGCGCCCGAGGGGACGTTTCAGAGCCGGTGGCGGTCCCAGTGTACCTCCCATGTGTGGCAGCATCCCAGGCACGGGGTAGGGAAAGCCCCAGGGGCCCGCCCAGGGCCGGTTGAGCCGCCAGGGGTTTTCCCAGAACAGCCGGCGCCCCTAGGGGCCCTCCCAGGGGTGGCACCTCCCCCAGGGGCCCTCTAAAAGGTATCATACATAGTGCATAAGTCCAGTAATCACTTACCTAACTGTGATTGGTGGATAAAGCAACCAAATAACAGCCAATAGGGGAACAGAGTGTTCAGTCAGCACAACACCCCAACTTATGTTTTCCTGTTGGATATTTATTCTCCTTTACATTTTTCATGATGCGATGGTACTGGAAATGTGATGGGCAGTGTATTTATTTATCACCATATCTCCCAGTGATCTAAATAGTAGGAAAACAAGTTCCCCCTAGGGCCCTCCCATCTGCCATATCAGTTGCAGCGCCCCTAGGGGCCCCTCGAGGGGTATTGGTGTACACACGGTCCCTCCCATTGGCGCCCCAGGGGACGTTTCAGAGCCGGTGGCGGTCCCAGTGTACCTCCCATGTTTGGCAGCATCCCCAGGGGCCCTAGCAGGGACGGGGGCAACAACAGGGACCCTTCCAAAGGTGGCAGTGCCCCAAGGGGCCCTCCTAGGGGAGGCGGTGCCAGCAGGGGCCCTTTCAGGGGTGGCGGGGCCTCCAGGAGCTCCACATTGACGGCAATGACCCCAGGCTTCCCCTTCTGGGGCTTTTCCAGGTGCCGCTGCGCCCACAAGGGCCCTCCCAGGGGTGGCGGAGCCGTTAGGGTCCCTTCCAGGGGGGTGGTAATCCACAGGGGCCCCCCCAGTAGTGACGGGGGCCCTCCAAGAGGCGGTAACGACTCCAAATGCCCTCCCTTGGGCGACAGCGCCCCCAAGCGTTCTCCAACGGGAGGTGGCGCTCCCAGGGGCCCGCCCAGGGCCGGTTGAGCCGTCAGGGGTTTTCCCAGAACAGCCGGCGCCCCTAGGGGCCCTCCCAGGGGTGGCACCTCCCCCATGGGCCCTCTAAAAGGTATCATACATAGTGCATAAGTCCAGTAATCACTTACCTAACTGTGATTGGTGGATAAAGCAACCAAATAACAGCCAATAGGGGAACAGAGTGTTCAGTCAGCACAACACCCCAACTTATGTTTTCCTGTTGGATATTTATTCTCCTTTACATTTTTCATGATGCGATGGTACTGGATAGGTTATGGGCAGCCTATTTATTTATCACCATATCTCCCAGTGATCTAAATAGTGGGAAAACAAGTACCCCCTAGGGCCCTAAAGAGACAGTGCCCCCTGGGGCCCTCCCATTTGCCATATCAGTTGCAGCGCCCCTAGGGGCCCCCCGAGGGGTATTGGTGTACACACGGTCCCTCCCATTGGCGCCCGAGGGGACGTTTCAGAGCCGGTGGCGGTCCCAGTGTACCTCCCATGTGTGGCAGCATCCCCAGGGGCCCTTGCAGGGACGGGGGCAACAATATGGACCCTTCCAAAGGTGGCAGTGCCCCAAGGGGCCCTCCTAGGGGAGGCGGCACCAGCAGAGGCCGTTTCAGGGGTGGCGGGGTCTCCAGGAGCTCCACAGGGACGGCAATGACCCCAGGCTTCCCCTTCTGGGGCTTTTCCAGGAGCCCCTGCGCCCACAAGGGCCCTCCCAGGGGTGGCGGAGCCGTTAGGGTCTCTTCCAGGGGCGTGGTAATCCACAGGGGCCCTCCCAGTAGTGACGGGGGCCCTCCAAGAGGCGGTAACGACCCCAAGGGCCCTCCCCTGGGCGACAGCGCCCATAAGCGGCGTCCCAGGCACGGTGGTGCCCCCAGGTGCCCACCCAGGGTCGGTTGCGCCGCCAGGGGTTTTCCCAGAAGCGCCAGCGCCCCTAAGGGCCCTCCCAGGGGTGGCACCTCCCCCAGGGGCCCTCCAAATTGTGTCATACATAGTGCATAAGTCCAGTAATCACTTACCTAACTGTGATTGGTGGATAAAGCAACCAAATAACAGCCAATAGGGGAACAGAGTGTTCAGTCAGCACAACACCCCAACTTATGTTTTCCTGTTGGATATTTATTCTCCTTTACATTTTTCATGATGCGATGGTACTGGAAATGTGATGGGCAGTGTATTTATTTATCACCATATCTCCCAGTGATCTAAATAGTAGGAAAACAAGTACCCCCTAGGGCCCTCCCATCTGCCATATCAGTTGCAGCGCCCCTAGGGGCCCCTCGAGGGGTATTGGTGTACACACGGTCCCTCCCATTGGCGCCCCAGGGGACGTTTCAGAGCTGGTGGCGGTCCCAGTGTACCTCCCATGTTTGGCAGCATCCCTAGGGCCCCTTGCAGGGACGGGGGCAACAACAGGGACCCTTCCAAAGGTGGCAGTGCCCCAAGGGGCCCTCCTAGGGGAGGCGGTGCCAGCAGGGGCCCTTTCAGGGGTGGCGGGGCCTCCAGGAGCTCCACAGGGACGGCAATGACTCCAGGCTTCCCCTTCTGGGGTTTTCCAGGTGCCGCTGCGCCCATAAGGGCCCTCCCAGGGGTGGCGGAGCCGTTAGGGTCCCTCCCAGGGGGGTGGTAATCCACAGGGGCCCTCCCAGTAGTGACGGGGGCCCTCCAAGATGCGGTAACGACTCCAAATGCCCTCCCTTGGGCGACAGCGCCCCCAAGCGTCCTCCCAGGGGAGGTGGCGCTCCCAGGGGCCCGCCCAGGGCCGGTTGAGCCGCCAGGGGTTTTCCCAGAACAGCCGGCGCCCCTAGGGACCCTCCCAGGGGTGGCACCTCCCCTAGGGGCTCTCTAAAAGGTATCATACATAGTGCATAAGTCCAGTAATCACTTACCTAACTGTGATTGGTGGATAAAGCAACCAAATAACAGCCAATAGGGGAACAGAGTGTTCAGTCAGCACAACACCCCAACTTATGATTTCCTGTTGGATATTTATTCTCCTTTACATGTTTCGTGATGCGATGATCCTGGATATGTGATGGGCAGTGTATTTATTTAACGTCATATCTCCCAGTGATCTAAATAGTGGGAAAACAAGTACCCCCTAGTGCCCTAAAAGGACAGTGCTAGCTGGGGCCCTCCCATTTGCCATATCAGTTGCAGCGCCGCTAGGGGCCCCCCGAGGGGTATTGATGTACACAGGGTCCCTCCCATTGGCGCCCAGGGGAATTTTCAGAGCTGGTGGCGGTCCCAGTGTACCTCCCATGTGTGGCAGCATCCCCAGGGGCCCTTGCAGGGACGGGGGCAACAACAGGGACCCTTCCAAAGGTGGCAGCGCCCCAAGGGGCCCTCCTAGGGGAGGCGGTGCACGCAGGGGCCCTTCCAGGGGTGGCGGGGGCCTCCAGGAGCTCCACAGCGTTGGCCACTACCCCAGGCTTCCCCTTCAGGGGCTTTTCCAGGGGCCCCGGCGCCCACAAGGGCCCTCCCAGGGGTGGCGGAGCCGTTAGGGTCCCTTCCAGGGGCGTGGTAATCCACAGGGGCCCTCCTAGTAGTGACGGGGGCCTTCCAAGAGGCGGTAACGACTCCAAGAGCCCTCCCTTGGGCGACAGCGACCCCAAACGTCCTCCTAGGGGTGGTACCTCTCCTAGGGGCCCTCTAAAAGGTGTCATACATAGTGCATAAGTCCAGTAATCACTTACTTAACTGTGATTGGCGGATAAACAACCAAATAACAGCCAATAGGGGAACAGAGTGTTCATTCAGCACAACACCCCATCTTATGTTTTCCTGTTGGATATTTATTCTCCTTTACATGTTTCGTGATGTGATGATACTGGAAATGTGATGGGCAGTGTATTTATTTAACGTCATATCTCCCAGTGATCTAAATAGTGGGAAAACAAGTACCCCCTATGGCCCTAAAAAGACAGTGCCCCCTGGGGCCCTCCCATTTGCCATATTAGTTGCAGCGCCCCTAGGGGCCCCCCGAGGGGTATTGGTGTACACACGGTCCCTCCCATTGGCGCCCGAGGGGACGTTTCAGAGCCGGTGGCGGTCCCAGTGTACCTCCCATGTGTGGCAGCATCCCCAGGGGCCCTTGCAGGGACGGGGGCAACAATATGGACCCTTCCAAAGGTGGCAGTGCCCCAAGGGGCCCTCCTAGGGGAGTCGGCGCCAGCAGAGGCCGTTTCAGGGGTGGCGGGGTCTCCAGGAGCTCCACAGGGACGGCAATGACCCCAGGCTTCCCCTTCTGGGGCTTTTCCAGGAGCCCCTGCGCCCACAAGGGCCCTCCCAGGGGTGGCGGAGCCGTTAGGGTCCCTTCCAGGGGCGTGGTAATCCACAGGGGCCCTCCCAGTAGTGACGGGGGCCCTCCAAGAGGCAGTAACGACCCCAAGGGCCCTCCCCTGGGCGACAGCGCCCATAAGCGGCGTCCCAGGCACGGTGGTGCCCCCAGGTGCCCACCCAGGGTCGGTTGCGCCGCCAGGGGTTTTCCCAGAAGCGCCAACGCCCCTAAGGGCCCTCCCAGATGTGGCACCTCTCCCAGGGGCCCTCCAAATTGTGTCATACATAGTGCATAAGTCCAGTAATCACTTACCTAACTGTGATTGGTGGATAAAGCAACCAAATAACAGCCAATAGGGGAAGAGAGTGTTCAGTCAGCACAACACCCCAACTTATGTTTTCCTGTTGGATATTTATTCTCCTTTACATTTTTCATGATGCGATGGTACTGGAAATGTGATGGGCAGTGTATTTATTTATCACCATATCTCCCAGTGATCTAAATAGTAGGAAAACAAGTTCCCCCTAGGGCCCTCCCATCTGCCATATCAGTTGCAGCGCCCCTAGGGGCCCCTCGAGGGGTATTGGTGTACACACGGTCCCTCCCATTGGCGCCCCAGGGGACGTTTCAGAGCCGGTGGCGGTCCCAGTGTACCTCCCATGTTTGGCAGCATCCCCAGGGGCCCTAGCAGGGACGGGGGCAACAACAGGGACCCTTCCAAAGGTGGCAGTGCCCCAAGGGGCCCTCCTAGGGGAGGCGGTGCCAGCAGGGGCCCTTTCAGGGGTGGCGGGGCCTCCAGGAGCTCCACATTGACGGCAATGACCCCAGGCTTCCCCTTCTGGGGCTTTTCCAGGTGCCGCTGCGCCCACAAGGGCCCTCCCAGGGGTGGCGGAGCCGTTAGGGTCCCTTCCAGGGGGGTGGTAATCCACAGGGGCCCCCCCAGTAGTGACGGGGGCCCTCCAAGAGGCGGTAACGACTCCAAATGCCCTCCCTTGGGCGACAGCGCCCCCAAGCGTTCTCCAACGGGAGGTGGCGCTCCCAGGGGCCCGCCCAGGGCCGGTTGAGCCGTCAGGGGTTTTCCCAGAACAGCCGGCGCCCCTAGGGGCCCTCCCAGGGGTGGCACCTCCCCCATGGGCCCTCTAAAAGGTATCATACATAGTGCATAAGTCCAGTAATCACTTACCTAACTGTGATTGGTGGATAAAGCAACCAAATAACAGCCAATAGGGGAACAGAGTGTTCAGTCAGCACAACACCCCAACTTATGATTTCCTGTTGGATATTTATTCTCCTTTACATGTTTCGTGATGCGATGATCCTGGATATGTGATGGGCAGTGTATTTATTTAACGTCATATCTCCCAGTGATCTAAATAGTGGGAAAACAAGTACCCCCTAGTGCCCTAAAAGGACAGTGCTAGCTGGGGCCCTCCCATTTGCCATATCAGTTGCAGCGCCGCTAGGGGCCCCCGAGGGGTATTGATGTACACAGGGTCCCTCCCATTGGCGCCCAGGGGACTTTTCAGAGCTGGTGGCGGTCCCAGTGTACCTCCCATGTGTGGCAGCATCCCCAGGGGCCCTTGCAGGGACGGGGGCAACAACAGGGACCCTTCCAAAGGTGGCAGCGCCCCAAGGGGCCCTCCTAGGGGAGGCGGCGCACGCAGGGGCCCTTCCAGGGGTGGCGGGGCCTCCAGGAGCTCCACAGGGTTGGCCACTACCCCAGGCTTCCCCTTCAGGGGCTTTTCCAGGGGCCCCGGCGCCCACAAGGGCCCTCCCAGGGGTGGCGGAGCCGTTAGGGTCCCTTCCAGGGGCGTGGTAATCCACAGGGGCCCTCCTAGTAGTGACGGGGGCCTTCCAAGAGGCGGTAACGACTCCAAGGGCCCTCCCTTGGGCGACAGCGACCCCAAACGTCCTCCTAGGGGTGGTACCTCTCCCAGGGGCCCTCTAAAAGGTGTCATACATAGTGCATAAGTCCAGTAATCACTTACTTAACTGTGATTGGTGGATAAACAACCAAATAACAGCCAATAGGGGAACAGAGTGTTCATTCAGCACAACACCCCATCTTATGTTTTCCTGTTGGATATTTATTCTCCTTTACATGTTTCGTGATGTGATGATACTGGAAATGTGATGGGCAGTGTATTTATTTAACGTCATATCTCCCAGTGATCTAAATAGTGGGAAAACAAGTACCCCCTATGGCCCTAAAAAGACAGTGCCCCCTGGGGCCCTCCCATTTGCTGTACCAGTTGCAGCTCCCCTATGGGCCCCCTGAGGGGTATCGGTGTACACAGGGTCCCTCCCATTGGCGCCCAGGGGACTTTTCAGAGCCGGTGGCGGTCCCAGTGTACCTTCCATGTGTGGCAGCATCCCCAGGGGCCCTTACAGGGACGGGGGCAACAACAGGGACCCTTCCAAAGGTGGCAGCGCCCCAAGGGGCCCTCCTAGGGGAGACGGCGCCCGCAGGGGCCCTTCCAGGGGTGGCGGAGCCTCCAGGAGCCCCACAGGGTTGGCAACGACCCCAGGTTCCCTTTCACGGTCTTTTCCAGGGGCCCTGGCGCCCACAAGGGCCCTCCCAGGGGTGGCAGAGCCGTCAGGGTCCCTCCCAGGGGCGTCATAATCCACAAGGGCCCTCCCAGGAGTGACGGGGGCCCTCCAAGAGGCGGCAACGACCCCAAGGGTCCTCCCTTGGGCGACAGCGCCCCGAAGCGTCATCCCAGGGCCGGTGCCGCCCCCAGGGACCCGCCCAGGGCCGGTTGAGCCGCCAGGGGTTTTCCCAGAAGCGCCGGAGCCCCTAAAGGCCCTCCCAGGGGTGGCATTTCCCCCAGGGGCCCTCTGACAGGTGTCATACATAGTGGATAAGTCCAGTAATCACTTACCTAACTGCGATTGGTGGATAAAGCAACCAAATAACAGCCAATAGGGGAACAGAGTGTTCAGTCAGCACAACACCCCAACTTATGTTTTCCTGTTGGATATTTATTCTCCTTTACATTTTTCATGATGCGATGGTACTGGAAAGGTTATGGGCAGCCTATTTATTTATCACCATATCTCCCAGTGATCTAAATAGTGGGAAAACAAGTACCCCCTAGGGCCCTAAAGGGACAGTGCCCCCTGGGGCCCTCCCATTTGCCATATCAGTTGCAGCGCCCCTAGGGGCCCCCCGAGGGGTATTGGTGTACACACGGTCCCTCCATTGGCGCCCGAGGGGACGTTTCAGAGCCGGTGGCGGTCCCAGTGTACCTCCCATGTGTGGCAGCATCCCCAGGGGCCCTTGCAGGGACGGGGGCAACAATATGGACCCTTCCAAAGGTGGCAGTGCCCCAAGGGGCCCTCCTAGGGGAGGCGGCGCCAGCAGAGGCCGTTTCAGGGGTGGCGGGGTCTCCAGGAGCTCCACAGGGACGGCAATGACCCCAGGCTTCCCCTTCTGGGGCTTTTCCAGGAGCCCCTGCGCCCACAAGGGCCCTCCCAGGGGTGGCGGAGCCGTTAGGGTCCCTTCCAGGGGCGTGGTAATCCACAGGGGCCCTCCCAGTAGTGACGGGGGCCCTCCAAGAGGCGGTAACGACCCCAAGGGCCCTCCCCTGGGCGACAGCGCCCATAAGCGGCGTCCCAGGCACGGTGGTGCCCCCAGGTGCCCACCCAGGGTCGGTTGCGCCGCCAGGGGTTTTCCCAGAAGCGCCAGCGCCCCTAAGGGCCCTCCCAGGGGTGGCACCTCCCCCAGGGGCCCTCCAAATTGTGTCATACATAGTGCATAAGTCCAGTAATCACTTACCTAACTGTGATTGGTGGATAAAGCAACCAAATAACAGCCAATAGGGGAACAGAGTGTTCAGTCAGCACAACACCCCAACTTATGTTTTCCTGTTGGATATTTATTCTCCTTTACATTTTTCATGATGCGATGGTACTGGAAATGTGATGGGCAGTGTATTTATTTATCACCATATCTCCCAGTGATCTAAATAGTAGGAAAACAAGTACCCCCTAGGGCCCTCCCATCTGCCATATCAGTTGCAGCGCCCCTAGGGGCCCCTCGAGGGGTATTGGTGTACACACGGTCCCTCCCATTGGCGCCCCAGGGGACGTTTCAGAGCTGGTGGCGGTCCCAGTGTACCTCCCATGTTTGGCAGCATCCCTAGGGGCCCTTGCAGGGACGGGGGCAACAACAGGGACCCTTCCAAAGGTGGCAGTGCCCCAAGGGGCCCTCCTAGGGGAGGCGGTGCCAGCAGGGGCCCTTTCAGGGGTGGCGGGGCCTCCAGGAGCTCCACAGGGACGGCAATGACCCCAGGCTTCCCCTTCTGGGGCTTTTCCAGGTGCCGCTGCGCCCACAAGGGCCCTCCCAGGGGTGGCGGAGCCGTTAGGGTCCCTTCCAGGGGGGTGGTAATCCACAGGGGCCCTCCCAGTAGTGACGGGGGCCCTCCAAGAGGCGGTAACGACTCCAAATGCCCTCCCTTGGGCGACAGCGCCACCAAGCGTCCTCCCAGGGGAGGTGGCGCTCCCAGGGGCCCGCCCAGGGCCGGTTGAGCCGCCAGGGGTTTTCCCAGAACAGCCGGCGCACCTAGGGGCCCTCCCAGGGGTGGCACCTCCCCCAGGGGCCCTCTAAAAGGTATCATACATAGTGCATAAGTCCAGTAATCACTTACCTAACTGTGATTGGTGGATAAAGCAACCAAATGACAGCCAATAGGGGAACAGAGTGTTCAGTCAGCACAACACCCCAACTTATGATTTCCTGTTGGATATTTATTCTCCTTTACATGTTTCGTGATGCGATGATCCTGGATATGTGATGGGCAGTGTATTTATTTAACGTCATATCTCCCAGTGATCTAAATAGTGGGAAAACAAGTACCCCTTAGTGCCCTAAAAGGTCAGTGCTAGCTGGGGCCCTCCCATTTGCCATATCAGTTGCAGCGCCGCTAGGGGCCCTCCGAGGGGTATTGATGTACACAGGGTCCCTCCCATTGGCGCCCAGGGGACTTTTCAGAGCTGGTGGCGGTCCCAGTGTACCTCCCATGTGTGGCAGCATCCCCAGGGGCCCTTGCAGGGACGGGGGCAACAACAGGGACCCTTCCAAAGGTGGCAGCGCCCCAAGGGGCCCTCCTAGGGGAGGCGGCGCACGCAGGGGCCCTTTCAGGGGTGGCGGGGCCTCCAGGAGCTCCACAGGGTTGGCAATGACCCCAGGCTTCCCCTTCTGGGGCTTTTCCAGGTGCCGCTGCGCCCACAAGGGCCCTCCCAGGGGTGGCGGAGCCGTTAGGGTCCCTTCCAGGGGGGTGGTAATCCACAGGGGCCCTCCCAGTAGTGACGGGGGCCCTCCAAGAGGCGGTAACGACTCCAAATGCCCTCCCTTGGGCGACAGCCCCCCCAAGCGTCCTCCCAGGGGAGGTGGCGCTCCCAGGGGCCCGCCCAGGGCCGGTTGAGCCGCCAGGGGTTTTCCCAGAACAGCCGGCGCCCTTAGGGGCCCTCCCAGGGTGGCACCTCCCCCAGGGGCCCTCTAAAAGGTATCATACATAGTGCATAAGTCCAGTAATCCCTTACTAACTTTCATTGGTGGATAAAACAACCAAATAATAGCCAATAGGGGAACAGAGTGTTCAGTAAATGGTTGGATTTTTCATGATGCGAACATGGGCAGCCTATTTATTTATATATCTCCCAGTGATCTAAATAGTGGGAAAACAAGTACCCCCTAGGGCCCTAGCCCTCCCATTTGCCATATCAGTTGCAAACACACACCAGGGGTTCAGAGTCCCAGTGCATGTGTGGCAGCATGCCCGGGGGCCAGGGACCCTTTATTTCTCCTTTACATCATTTTTCGTGATGCGATGATCCTGGATATGTGATGGGCAGTGTATTTATTTAACGTCATATCTCCCAGTGATCTAAATAGTGGGAAAACAAGTACCCCCTAGTGCCCTAAAAGGACAGTGCTAGCTGGGGCCCTCCCATTTGCCATATGAGTTGCAGCGCCGCTAGGGGCCCCCGAGGGGTATTGATGTACACAGGGTCCCTCCCATTGGCGCCCAGGGGACTTTTCAGAGCTGGTGGCGGTCCCAGTGTACCTCCCATGTGTGGCAGCATCCCCAGGGGCCCTTGCAGGGACGGGGGCAACAACAGGGACCCTTCCAAAGGTGGCAGCGCCCCAAGGGGCCCTCCTAGGGGAGGCGGCGCACGCAGGGGCCCTTCCAGGGGTGGCGGGGCCTCCAGGAGCTCCACAGGGTTGGCCACTACCCCAGGCTTCCCCTTCAGGGGCTTTTCCAGGGGCCCCGGCGCCCACAAGGGCCCTCCCAGGGGTGGCGGAGCCGTTAGGGTCCCTTCCAGGGGCGTGGTAATCCACAGGGGCCCTCCTAGTAGTGACGGGGGCCTTCCAAGAGGCGGTAACGACTCCAAGGGCCCTCCCTTGGGCGACAGCGACCCCAAACGTCCTCCTAGGGGTGGTACCTCTCCCAGGGGCCCTCTAAAAGGTGTCATACATAGTGCATAAGTCCAGTAATCACTTACTTAACTGTGATTGGTGGATAAACAACCAAATAACAGCCAATAGGGGAACAGAGTGTTCATTCAGCACAACACCCCATCTTATGTTTTCCTGTTGGATATTTATTCTCCTTTACATGTTTCGTGATGTGATGATACTGGAAATGTGATGGGCAGTGTATTTATTTAACGTCATATCTCCCAGTGATCTAAATAGTGGGAAACCAAGTACCCCCTATGGCCCTAAAAAGACAGTGCCCCCTGGGGCCCTCCCATTTGCTGTACCAGTTGCAGCTCCCCTATGGGCCCCCTGAGGGGTATCGGTGTACACAGGGTCCCTCCCATTGGCGCCCAGGGGACTTTTCAGAGCCGGTGGCGGTCCCAGTATACCTCCCATGTGTGGCAGCATCCCCAGGGGCCCTTACAGGGACGGGGGCAACAACAGGGACCCTTCCAAAGGTGGCAGCGCCCCAAGGGGCCCCCCTAGGGGAGACGGCGCCCGCAGGGGCCCTTCCAGGGGTGGCGGAGCCTCCAGGAGCCCCACAGGGTTGGCAACGACCCCAGGTTCCCTTTCACGGTCTTTTCCAGGGGCCCTGGCGCCCACAAGGGCCCTCCCATGGGTGGCAGAGCCGTCAGGGTCCCTTCCAGGGGCGTCATATCCAACAAGGGCCCTCCCAGGAGTGACGGGGGCCCTCCAAGAGGCGGCAACGACCCCAAGGGTCCTCCCTTGGGCGACAGCGCCCCGAAGCGTCATCCCAGGGCCGGTGCCGCCCCCAGGGACCCGCCCAGGGTCGGTTGAGCCGCGAGGGGTTTTCCCAGAAGCGCTGGAGCCCCTAAAGGCCCTCCCAGGGGTGGCATTTCCCCCAGGGGCCCTCTGACAGGTGTCATACATAGTGGATAAGTCCAGTAATCACTTACCTAACTTCGATTGGTGGATAAAGCAACCAAATAACAGCCAATAGGGGAACAGAGTGTTCAGTCAGCACCTCCACCCCAACTTATGTTTTCCTGTTGGATATTTATTCTCCTTTACATTTTTCATGATGCGATGGTACTGGAAATGTGATGGGCAGTGTATTTATTTATCACCATATCTCCCAGTGATCTAAATAGTAGGAAAACAAGTACCCCCTAGGGCCCTCCCATCTGCCATATCAGTTGCAGCGCCCCTAGGGGCCCCTCGAGGGGTATTGGTGTACACACGGTCCCTCCCATTGGCGCCCCAGGGGACGTTTCAGAGCTGGTGGCGGTCCCAGTGTACCTCCCATGTTTGGCAGCATCCCTAGGGGCCCTTGCAGGGACGGGGGCAACAACAGGGACCCTTCCAAAGGTGGCAGTGCCCCAAGGGGCCCTCCTAGGGGAGGCGGTGCCAGCAGGGGCCCTTTCAGGGGTGGCGGGGCCTCCAGGAGCTCCACAGGGACGGCAATGACCCCAGGCTTCCCCTTCTGGGGCTTTTCCAGGTGCCGCTGCGCCCACAAGGGCCCTCCCAGGGGTGGCGGAGCCGTTAGGGTCCCTTCCAGGGGGGTGGTAATCCACAGGGGCCCTCCCAGTAGTGACGGGGGCCCTCCAAGAGGCGGTAACGACTCCAAATGCCCTCCCTTGGGCGACAGCGCCCCCAAGCGTCCTCCCAGGCAGGTGGCGCCCCCAGGGGCCCGCCCAGGGCCGGTTGAGCCGCCAGGGGTTTTCCCAGAAGCGCCGGCGCCCCTAAGAGGCCCTCCCAGGGGTGGCACCTCCCCCAGGGGCCCTCTAAAAGGTGTCATACATAGTGCATAAGTCCAGTAATCACTTACCTAACTGTGATTGGTGGATAAAGCAACCAAATAACAGCCAATAGGGGAACAGAGTGTTCAGTCAGCACAACACCCCAACTTATGTTTTCCTGTTGGATATTTATTCTCCTTTACATTTTCATGATGCGATGGTACTGGAAAGGTTATGGGCAGCCTATTTATTATCACCATATCTCCCAGTGATCTAAATAGTGGGTAAACAAGTACCCCCTAGGGCCCTAAAGGGACAGTGCCCCCTGGGGCCCTCCCATTTGCATCAATTGCAGCGCCCCTAGGGGCCCCCCGAGGGGTATTGGTGTACACACGGTCCCTCCCATTGGCGCCCCAGGGGACGTTTCAGAGCCGGTGGCGGTCCCAGTGTACCTCCCATGTGTGGCAGCATCCCCAGGGGCCCTTGCAGGGACGGGGGCAACAATATGGACCCTTCCAAAGGTGGCAGTGCCCCAAGGGGCCCTCCTAGGGGAGGCGGCACCAGCAGAGGCCGTTTCAGGGGTGGCGGGGTCTCCAGGAGCTCCACAGGGACGGCAATGACCCCAGGCTTCCCCTTCTGGGGCTTTTCCAGGAGCCCCTGCGCCCACAAGGGCCCTCCCAGGGGTGGCGGAGCCGTTAGGGTCTCTTCCAGGGGCGTGGTAATCCACAGGGGCCCTCCCAGTAGTGACGGGGGCCCTCCAAGAGGCGGTAACGACCCCAAGGGCCCTCCCCTGGGCGACAGCGCCCATAAGCGGCGTCCCAGGCACGGTGGTGCCCCCAGGTGCCCACCCAGGGTCGGTTGCGCCGCCAGGGGTTTTCCCAGAAGCGCCAGCGCCCCTAAGGGCCCTCCCAGGGGTGGCACCTCCCCAAGGGGCCCTCCAAATTGTGTCAGACATAGTGCATAAGTCCAGTAATCACTTACCTAACTGTGATTGGTGGATAAAGCAACCAAATAACAGCCAATAGGGGAACAGAGTGTTCAGTCAGCACAACACCCCAACTTATGTTTTCCTGTTGGATCCCCTGGCCAGGTCAGGGGCTTTTCCAGGCCCCGGTGCCACTGGGCCTCCCAGGGGTGGCGGAGGGTCCTTCCAGGGGCGTGTGGTAATCCACAGGGCCCCTAGTAGTGACAGGCCAAGAGGCGGTAACGACTCCAAGGGCCCTCCCTTGACAGCGACCCCAAACGTCCTCCTAGGGGTGGTACCTCTCCCAGGGGCCCTCTAAAAGGTGTCATACATAGTGCATAAGTCCAGTAATCACTTACTTAACTGTGATTGGGGATAAACAACCAAATAACAGCCAATAGGGGAACAGAGTGTTCATTCAGCACAACACCCCATCTTATGTTTTCCTGTTGGATATTTATTCTCCTTTACATGTTTCGTGATGTGATGATACTGGAAATGTGATGGGCAGTGTATTTTTTAACGTCATATTCAGTGATCTAAATAGGGCTAAAGACGGCCTGGGGCCCCCCGGTTGTACCAGTTGGCCCCTATGGGCCCTGAGGGGTATCGGCACACAGGTCCCTCCCATTGGCGCCCAGGGACTTTTCAGAGCCGTGGCGTCCCAGTACCTTCCAAGCATCCCAGGGCCCTTACAGGGACAGGGGGCAACAACAGGGACCCTTCACTTAGCTCCCCTAACTGTGAGCTTGGTGGATCCCAGGCAGAGCCGTCCCTCCCAGGGGCGTCATAATCCACAAGGGCCTCCCAGGAGTGACGGGGGCCCTCCAAGAGGCGGCAACGACCCCAAGGGTCCTCCCTTGGGCGACAGCGCCCCGAAGCGTCATCCCAGGGCCGGTGCCGCCCCCAGGGACCCGCCCAGGGCCGGTTGAGCCGCCAGGGGTTTTCCCAGAAGCGCCGGAGCCCCTAAAGGCCCTCCCAGGGGTGGCATTTCCCCCAGGGGCCCTCTGACAGGTGTCATACATAGTGGATAAGTCCAGTAATCACTTACCTAACTGCGATTGGTGGATAAAGCAACCAAATAACAGCCAATAGGGGAACAGAGTGTTCAGTCAGCACAACACCCCAACTTATGTTTTCCTGTTGGATATTTATTCTCCTTTACATTTTCATGATGCGATGGTACTGGAAAGGTTATGGGCAGCCTATTTATTATCACCATATCTCCCAGTGATCTAAATAGTGGGAAAACAAGTACCCCCTAGGGCCCTAAAGGGACAGTGCCCCCTGGGGCCCTCCCATTTGCCATATCAGTTGCAGCGCCCCTAGGGGCCCCCCGAGGGGTATTGGTGTACACACGGTCCCTCCCATTGGCGCCCGAGGGGACGTTTCAGAGCCGGTGGCGGTCCCAGTGTACCTCCCATGTGTGGCAGCATCCCCAGGGGCCCTTGCAGGGACGGGGGCAACAATATGGACCCTTCCAAAGGTGGCAGTGCCCCAAGGGGCCCTCCTAGGGGAGGCGGCGCCAGCAGGAGGCCGTTTCAGGGGTGGCGGGGTCTCCAGGAGCTCCACAGGGACGGCAATGACCCCAGGCTTCCCCTTCTGGGGCTTTTCCAGGAGCCCCTGCGCCCACAAGGGCCCTCCCAGGGGTGGCGGAGCCGTTAGGGTCCCTTCCAGGGGCGTGGTAATCCACAGGGGCCCTCCCAGTAGTGACGGGGGCCCTCCAAGAGGCGGTAACGACCCCAAGGGCCCTCCCCTGGGCGACAGCGCCCATAAGCGGCGTCCCAGGTACGGTGGTGCCCCCAGGTGCCCACCCAGGGTCGGTTGCGCCGCCAGGGGTTTTCCCAGAAGCGCCAGCGCCCCTAAGGGCCCTCCCAGGGGTGGCACCTCCCCCAGGGGCCCTCCAAATTGTGTCATACATAGTGCATAAGTCCAGTAATCACTTACCTAACTGTGATTGGTGGATAAAGCAACCAAATAACAGCCAATAGGGGAACAGAGTGTTCAGTCAGCACAACACCCCAACTTATGTTTTCCTGTTGGATATTTATTCTCCTTTACATTTTTCATGATGCGATGGTACTGGAAATGTGATGGGCAGTGTATTTATTTATCACCATATCTCCCAGTGATCTAAATAGTAGGAAAACAAGTACCCCCTAGGGCCCTCCCATCTGCCATATCAGTTGCAGCGCCCCTAAGGGCCCCTCGAGGGGTATTGGTGTACACACGGTCCCTCCCATTGGCCCCCAGGGGACGTTTCAGAGCGGTGGCGGTCCCAGTGTACCTCCCATGTTTGGCAGCATCCCCAGGGGCCCTTGCAGGGACGGGGGCAACAACAGGGACCCTTCCAAAGGTGGCAGTGCCCCAAGGGGCCCTCCTAGGGGAGGCGGTGCCAGCAGGGGCCCTTTCAGGGGTGGCGGGGCCTCCAGGAGCTCCACAGGGACGGCAATGACCCCAGGCGCTTTTCCCCCTAGGGCCCTCCCAGCAGAGCCAGGGTCCCTTCCAGGGGGGGTAGTTCCCCCAGGACGGTCCCTCCCATTCCCAGGGGAGTTTCAGAGCTGGTGGCGGTCCCAGTGGTTTGGCAGCCTAGGGCCCCAGGAACAGGGGAGGCGGCAACGAGGCCCCAAGGGCCTCCTCCCAACTTGGGCTGGGGCCAGCGCCTCCAGGGTGAACCGTTAAGGTCCCTTCCGGTTTATGATCCTGGGGGCCTCCCAGTGGTGACGAGGAGCCTCCGGGAGGCAGTAACGACTCAAATGCCTCCAGCCAAACAGCCTGACGTCCTCCCAGGAGGTGGCGCTCCCAGAGCCCACCAGGGCCGGATTGAGTCCACTCAGGGTTTTCCCAGAACAGCCGGCGCCCCTAGGGGCCCTCCCAGGGGTGGCACCTCCCCCAGGGGCCCTCTAAAAGGTATCATACATAGTGCATAAGTCCAGTAATCACTTACCTAACTGTGATTGGTGGATAAAGCAACCAATAACAGCCAATAGGGGAACAGAGTGTTCAGTCAGCACAACACCCCAACTTATGATTTCCTGTTGGATATTTATTCTCCTTTACATGTTTCGTGATGCGATGATCCTGGATATGTGATGGGCAGTGTATATATTTAAGGTCATATCTCCCAGTGATCTAAATAGTGGGAAAACAAGTACCCCCTAGTGCCCTAAAAGGACAGTGCTAGCTGGGGCCCTCCCATTTGCCATATCAGTTGCAGCGCCGCTAGGGGCCCCCCGAGGGGTATTGATGTACACAGGGTCCCTCCCATTGGCGCCCAGGGGACTTTTCAGAGCTGGTGGCGGTCCCAGTGTACCTCCCATGTGTGGCAGCATCCCCAGGGGCCCTTGCACCTGCCATGTGTGAAAATCCCAGCTGCAGTGGTGCCCCAGGTGCCACCAGGGTCAGTTGCGCCAGGGGGTTTTGCCAGAAGCGCCAGCGCCCCTGAGACCCCCTCCCAGGGTAGCCTCCCCAGGAGCCCTCAAATTATGTCATACATGGTGCATAAGTCCAGTAATCCTTACCTAACTTTGTGATTGGTGGATAAAAGCAACAAATAACAGTCAATAGGGGAACAGAGTGTTCCAGTCAACACAACACCCAACATGTTTTCCTGTTGGATATTTATTCTGCTTACATTTTTCATGATGCGATGGTACTGGAAATGTGATGGGCAGTGTATTTATTTATCACCATATCTCCCAGTGATCTAAATAGTAGGAAAACAAGTACCCCCTAGGGCCCTCCCATCTGCCATATCAGTTGCAGCGCCCCTTGGGGCCCCTCGAGGGGTATTGGTGTACACACGGTCCCTCCCATTGGCGCCCCAGGGGACGTTTCAGAGCTGGTGGCGGTCCCAGTGTACCTCCCATGTTTGGCAGCATCCCTAGGGCCCCTTGCAGGGACGGGGGCAACAACAGGGACCCTTCCAAAGGTGGCAGTGCCCCAAGGGGCCCTCCTAGGGGAGGCGGTGCCAGCAGGGGCCCTTTCAGGGGTGGCGGGGCCTCCAGGAGCTCCACAGGGACGGCAATGACTCCAGGCTTCCCCTTCTGGGGTTTTCCAGGTGCCGCTGCGCCCATAAGGGCCCTCCCAGGGGTGGCGGAGCCGTTAGGGTCCCTCCCAGGGGGGTGGTAATCCACAGGGGCCCTCCCAGTAGTGACGGGGGCCCTCCAAGAGGCGGTAACGACTCCAAATGCCCTCCCTTGGGCGACAGCGCCCCCAAGCGTCCTCCCAGGGGAGGTGGCGCTCCCAGGGGCCCGCCCAGGGCCGGTTGAGCCGCCAGGGGTTTTCCCAGAACAGCCGGCGCCCCTAGGGGCCCTCCCAGGGGTGGCACCTCCCCCAGGGGCCCTCCAAATTGTGTCATACATAGTGCATAAGTCCAGTAATCACTTACCTAACTGTGATTGGTGGATAAAGCAACCAAATAACAGCCAATAGGGGAACAGAGTGTTCAGTCAGCACAACACCCCAACTTATGATTTCCTGTTGGATATTTATTCTCCTTTACATGTTTCGTGATGCGATGATCCTGGATATGTGATGGGCAGTGTATTTATTTAACGTCATATCTCCCAGTGATCTAAATAGTGGGAAAACAAGTACCCCTTAGTGCCCTAAAAGGTCAGTGCTAGCTGGGGCCCTCCCATTTGCCATATCAGTTGCAGCGCCGCTAGGGGCCTCCGAGGGGTATTGATGTACACAGGGTCCCTCCCATTGGCGCCCAGGGGACTTTTCAGAGCTGGTGGCGGTCCCAGTGTACCTCCCATGTGTGGCAGCATTCCCAGGGGCCCTTGCAGGGACGGGGGCAACAACAGGGACCCTTCCAAAGGTGGCAGCGCCCCAAGGGGCCCTCCTAGGGGAGGCGGCGCACGCAGGGGCCCTTCCAGGGGTGGCGGGGCCTCCAGGAGCTCCACAGGGACGGCAATGACCTCAGGCTTCCCCTTCTGGGGCTTTTCCAGGAGCCCCTGCGCCCACAAGGGCCCTCCCAGGGGTGGCGGAGCCGTTAGGGTCCCTTCCAGGGGCGTGGTAATCCACAGGGGCCCTCCCAGTAGTGACGGGGGCCCTCCAAGAGGCAGTAACGACCCCAAGGGCCCTCCCCTGGGCGACAGCGCCCATAAGCGGCGTCCCAGGCACGGTGGTGCCCCCAGGTGCCCACCCAGGGTCGGTTGCGCCGCCAGGGGTTTTCCCAGAAGCGCCAGCGCCCCTAAGGGCCCTCTGAGGGGTGGCACCTCCCCCAGGGGCCCTCCAAATTGTGTCATACATAGTGCATAAGTCCAGTAATCCCTTACTTAACTTTCATTGGTGGATAAAACAACCAAATAATAGCCAATAGGGGAACAGAGTGTTCAGTCAGCACAACACCCCAACTTATGTTTTCCTGTTGGATATTTATTCTCCTTTACATTTTTCATGATGCGATGGTACTGGAAAGGTTATGGGCAGCCTATTTATTTATCACCATATCTCCCAGTGATCTAAATAGTGGGAAAACAAGTACCCCCTAGGGCCCTAAAGGGACAGTGCCCCCTGGGGCCCTCCCATTTGCCATATCAGTTGCAACGCCCCTAGGGGCCCCCAGAGGGGTATTGGTGTACACGGGGTCCCTCCCATTGGCGCCCCAGGGGACATTTCAGAGCCGGTGGCGGTCCCAGTGTACCTCCCATGTGTGGCAGCATCCCCAGGAGCCTTTGTAAGGACGGGGGCAATAACAGGGACCCTCCCTAAGGTGGCAGCGCCCCAAGGGACCCTCTTAGGAGAGGCGGCTCCCGCACGAGCCCTTCCAGGGGTGGCGGGGAATCCAGGAGCCCCCACAGGGTCGGTACGACTCCAGGTTCCCTTTCAGGGGCTTTTCCAGGGGCCCCGGCGGCAACAAGGGCCCTCCCAGGGGTGGCGGGGGCCATCCCAGAGGCGGTAACGGCTCCAAGGGCCCTCCCTTGGGCGACAGCAACCTCAAAGTGTAGTCCCTGGGGCCCGCCCAGGGCCGGTTGCGCCGCCAGGGTTTTTTCCAGAAGCGCAGGCGCCCCTAGGGGCCCTCCCAGGGATGGCACCTCCCCCAGGGTCCCTCTGAAAGGTGTCATAAATAGTGCATAAGTCCAGTAATCCCTTACTTAACTGTGATTGGTGGATAAAACATCCAAATAATAGCCAATAGGGGAACAGAGTGTTCAGTCAGCACAACACCCCATCTTATGTTTTCCTGTTGGATATTTATTCTCCTTTACATTTTTCATGATGCGATGATACTGGAAATGTGATGGGCAGTGTATTTATTTAACGCTATATCTCCCAGTGATCTAAATAGTGGGAAAACAAGTACCCCCTAGGGCCCTAAAGAGACAGTGCCCCCTGAGGCCCTCCCATTTGCCCTACCAGTTCAGTTGCAGCGCCCTTAGGGGCACCCCGAGGGGTATCGGTGTACACAGGGTCCCTCCCAGTGGCGCCCCAGGAGACTTTTCAGAGCCTGTGGCGGTCCCAGTGTACCTCCCATGTGTGGCAGTATCCCCAGGGGCCCTTGCAGGGACGGGGGCAACAACAAGGACCCTTCCAAAGGTGGGAGCTCCCCAAGGGGCCCTCCTAGGGGAGGCGGCGCCCGCAGGAGCCCTTCCAGGGGTAGCGGGGCCTCCAGGAGCCCCACAGGGTCGGCAACGACCCCAGGTTCTTTTTAGGGTCTTTTGCAGGGGCCCCAGTGCTTACAAAGACCCTCCCAGGGGTAGCGGAGCCGTCAGGGTCACTCCCAGTGGCGTCGTAATCCACAGCGGCCCTCCCAGGAGTGGCGGGGCCCTCCAAGAGGAGGCAATGTCCCCAAGGGCCCTCCCTTGGGCGATAGCGCCCCCAACCGTCGTCCCAGGGGCGGTGGCGCTCCCAGGGGTCCGCCCAGGGCCGGTTGCGCCGCCAGGGGTTTTCACAGAAGCGCTGGCGCCCCTATGGGCCCTATTAGGTGAGGCGGCGTCCCCATGGGTGGCGGCGTCCCAGGGGCCCTCCCAGGGACGGCCGCGCCTCCAGGAACCCTCCATGGGGAGGCAGCGGCCCTAGCAGCCCTCCCAATGGCGGCGGCGACTCCAGGGGCCCTCTCAGGAGCGGCGGCAATCCCTAGGGCCCTCCCAGAATTGGCGGCAGCCCCAGGATCCCTCCCAGGGCCGTCGGTACCCAAGGGGCCCTCGAAGGGCCGTCGGTACCCTAGGGGCCCTCGCAGCGATGGCAGCGAACCCAGGAGTCCTCTCAGGCGCACTGACGACCACAAGGGGCCTGTCAGTGGCATCAGCGTTTCCAGGGACTCTCCCAATTGCGGCGGCGCCCACAGAGGCCCTCCCGGTACCACCACTCCTGACAGGGCCCCTGGGATCGCCGCCGCACCTGGGGGCGCTACTGTCCTTGACAGGGCCCCTGGAGGTGCCACCGCCCCTGGCAGGGCTTCTGGAAACACCACTGCCCCTGGCAGGACCCCTGTGGGCGTCCCCCGGCAGAACCCGCCACCTCCCCTGGAAGGGATTCTGTGGGCTCCACTTCCCCTGAGAGGGTCCCTGGAGGTTCCAGCACTCCTAACAGGGGCCTCTGGGTCGCTGCCGCTCGTGGGAGGGCCCCTGGGGGTGCCATTTTCCCTGGGAGCGCCACCTCCTCTGGGAGGGTCCCTGGGCGCTGCTTCCCCTAAGGAAAGTCCTTGGTAGCGCCGCTGTTCCTGGGAGGGCACCTGGTGGCGCCACTGCCCCATTGACAGGGCCCCTGGGGGCGTGCCCGCCCTTGGCAGGGCCCCTGTTGGCGCCGCTATTCCTCCCTCCACTTCCCTCTCTCTCTCCCTCCTTTTCCCTCTCCCCCCCCCCCTCTCTCTCACTCCGTACTGTGGGGGACGTTAATAAGGAAAGTTTCATTATTATAAGTTCAGGCTGATGAGAAAATTCGCTTGGTTGGCATTCATGAGTTTTAGCTTCGATTATCCTCCTCAGATTGTCTTCACCTTCTCATTTCTTTTTTCTTTTTTACTTCCCCAAACTTTCTTTGTTTCCTCTGGCGAAGTTTTTTTTATTGTATGGAGGACGGAGGGGGGAAGGAGGGGAGGGGGAGGGGGGGATAGGGGTGAGAGGGAGGGAAGGGAAGGGGAGTTGGTGGAGAGAAAAATTATTTTAGGGGGGATGCCATTTAAATACTGTATACACACACACACACATAACGAGACCAAATTGACAAATCTTTAAAAACAAGAGAAAACACAGACATATTCCAAATAAATTGAAGGCAAGATGTTCCTACTATCCAGTCACCCGCATCCGGCCATTCCGGTTAACACTGCGGGACAAGGATCACGGTTTTCGAGTCGACCGGTTTTATTTCATCCGGTTACTGATTTTTATTCTCCCTACGATAGCCGGTAGCGTATATTTAAGATGGCACTGAAATTTAAGGTGGCACTCATATACTAAGGGTGCCACTTATATGTTAAGGGTGCCACTCATATGTTAAGGGTAGTACTCATGCGTTAAGGGTGGTACTCATATACTAAGGGTGGTACTCATTCGTTAAGGGTGGTACTCATATACTAAGGGTGGTACTCAGATATTAAGGGTGGCACTCGGATATTAATGGTGGCACTTGGCATCACCGGCAAGACGAGTGGCACCGTAAACCCGGAGCTCGGGTATTATCCAGTCGGACCTTTTGTTATGGTAATGCATCCGGCTCCGAAAAAAAGCTATATCAACCACTTACCGGTAGCTGGCAGGCATCCGGCAAACAGACAGGCAGACAAGCAGATATACGGCGGACAGGTAAACAGGAAGATATCCGGCAAGACAACCGGGCAAACAGTGGCTCATAGACTTCATATCCTATTACCGTGTTGATGCTGCAGACTGTACTGTGTAAATGTTTGTTTCATTGTGTGTATGATGAGTAAAGATGACTCTCTCTCCCACGCCTCTCTCTTTCTCTCTTCTCCCGCGCCTCTCTCTATCTCTCTCTCTCTCTTCTCCCACGCCTCTCTTTCTATCTCTCTTTATCTCTATCTCCAATGAAACACCCCAACTGCCTTATCAACAGCATTACATAGGGGACAGCGGGAGACATTCCATACACGTGTTAGTATTTATTAGTTGGCATATACAGTACAGCAGACCACTAGCGTTACCCCTAAGCGATAACATTGGCCAATCCTTGTAATGAAGACTTCTGATTGGTTGTTGGGATGAGTCTATTTGTCTTTTCTTCTTGTTATCTTCTGGATTTCTTCTTTTTGATCTTTCTTTTTTTTTGTTTCTTCATATTTTTAATGGGGATATAATTACTGTCGCCGGTACTACTATTATTATTATTATTATTATTATTATTATTATTATTATTATTATTATTATTATTATTAGTAGTAGTATTATTATTATTATTATTATTATTATTATTAGTAGTAGTAGTAGTAGTAGTAGTAGTTAGTAGTAGTAGTAGTAGTAGTAGTAGTAGTGTGTTTAGTATGTGTGTGTGTATATCCATGTGTTATTTACATTCAGATAATACGCCCAGATGGAGAAATATTTCAGATTTATTTGTCTTGCATTGGGAGGGCGCTCGACCTCTTGTACCATGAGGCAGCGAGGGAGAGTAATGGTGCAGAAAACTGCTGTTTTTTCTCCAGTTGTAAACACGAATGCATGTTGTCTCGTGTAGGTCTTTCTCTGTCATAATTCCGGATTCCTGGTCAACGGGTCAGTAAATTCTCCAGAGTTTGCATGTCTAAGATCCTTGGAATTATGACTGGATGGTTGAGTTACACACAAGCTTTGAAGATTTCGAGTGGCATAAATTTGTGTTTTTATATAGTTGAAATGTGTTTGATTAGGTAATTTACCGAGAGAAGATAATTATGTTTAGATACCCCTCCATATTTGTGTCTTTTTCATCAATGTAAAATTATAGATATAATGTAATAAAACACTATCTTTCAAGACATAGTATAGAGATATATTATCATTATTATAATTATGTATTTTACAGGTGATTTTGGCGGTACAGTCCAGGCCACTTATAAGCAACACTGACTTGCGGCCTCGAAATTCCTTAATGTCGTGAACTGTACTGGACATTAGAGCCATTTTAGATATATTTTAATGCTGTTTCAAAATGATGATGATAATGATGATGATGATGATAATGATGATGATAATGTTGATGCTAATGATAGTAATGATAATTTAAAACTTCTCTTACCAATAATAATGATAATGACCACTGATACCGACAATGAAAATGATGATGACGAGAGAGTGAAATACACCAATAAGAGACACCCATAATAATGACGACACTGATAATGACAGTAGAAAAAAACACAACATTTACGTAATACATTATAATGACGCTAATGTTAATGACGATGCCGAGGATGACGATGAGTAACATTAAGGGCTGTCGACTCGGGCCAATAACCACACTCTCCCTGGGCCGATAGAGTGCACCAATAATAGTTGACATTTATCGACTACATCTCCTATATAAATCTTGACCTGGAGGAGTTATTGAAGGCATAAGGTCTTCTCCCGGTATGTGTGTGTGTGTGTGTGTGTGTGTGTTATATCTTGACTCCTATTTGACGCGTCAATGGTAAATAATTTATCTTTTGGTGCAGATAATATCTTCCTATTCGTCGTTTTGCTTCATGAGCGACGCAGCGTCACTAACCAAATTATGAAGATAATGATTCACCTGTCACTCAGCGGGGCTTAATCATTTCTCAACTGGCTTATTTTTAATCAAACGTTAATGAATTATTACGATCCAAATTCGTGTGTTTGTGTATTTTCCTCTTTTGCTTTCTGGAATAGATTTTTGTTTCACTATTTCCTCTCTGTTCTGTAGCTGTTATGACCACTTCACACCTTAACTGCTGTATATATAACTCTCCAGTATAACACATTACTACCTCATGGTCTATCATTACCTGTTAATATACTTAAAATCATTGTAATTAACTCATGATACAAACAACATGGAAAATACTACACTTGTTTGTTTTGTTTTTTTCAGTTTTTTTCGTTTCGTTTTTTAGTGCCTGTTGCAGCTGTTTTCTAATATCCATTTGCATAATATTCAATGGGAATATTAAAGGATCGGATCCCACCAGAGGAAATGAATAAGAAGATCAAGAGCCGACTATCAAAGACCTCAAAATCCATTAAGGAATATCTCCATTCTGATGCCTTTTTCTTGGTGTCTGATCCTCTTTCTCTGGCCAGATAAAGGGTGTATAGATAGTGTAAGTAGAATCCTCTTCTGAATATGTGAATTGAAAGGTTGTCAACAATACAGAGGATGGAATTCATTTACTTCATCAGTGGTAACTCATGGTATCAAATATCCTATCAGGGAATTTCTTGATTAATCATAAAAGATTAGAATATATTTATCTATCGCATAACACTAAAATAACACATTTCTCCAGTATATCTTATTAAACTAAAGCAACCTACAAAGGATCCAATGCTATACACACACACACACACACCCACGCGTGCACATAATGTCTAAAAATATATGTATACAAACAGACTGGCAGATTTACATGGAGATCGCGTGAATACTCGTAATAAAACAGCATTGTCCTCACTTGTTGATGTGTGAGATGAACAAGGACAATGTTCTTTAAATATAAACCTTTACAGGCTCTCCACGAAAAGCTGTAAGGCAGTGTGTTTGTATTTGAGACACTCTGTATATATATAAGACACTTGGATTTTTCTGCCACAACGTCGGGAGATTCCTAAATCCACCAAGTAAATCCACGAGAGCCGACCAGGGAATCCCATGCCGCATCCTGTATAATCCCCGCCTGTAACTCACCATCCTTGCCTGTAACTCACCATCCTTGCCTGTAACTCACCATCTCGTCTCTGTAACTTGCCATCACTGCTTGTAACTCACCATCCTTGCCTGTAACTTACCATCTCGTCTCTGTAACTTGCCATCACTGCTTGTAACTCACCATCTTTGCTTGTAACTCACCATCTCGTCTCTGTAACTTGCTATCACTGCTTGTAACTCACCATCCTTGCCTGTAACTCACCATCTCGTCTCTGTAACTAACGCTCCTGGCCTGTAACTCACCATTCCTAGGGTACGGTTAATGTTTCAGTTAGGGACAGAGACTCTGGACTAATATATCAGAGGTGAAAGACTGGACTGGGGCTGCTCTGTACTGTCTCCTCCCTCTTAAGCTCTGGTTGGCGGCGACAGCTGGAAAAAGTGCACTAATATATCTTGGGTTAAACCAAAAGCCAAACCTTAGTGTCTTGTCTGGTCTGGTGTGGTGTACTGTGGTCTAGTGTGGTGTACTGTGGTCTGGTGTGGTCTTCTTTGTTTTTTCCTGGTCTGGTCTTGTCTTGCCTTGCCTGCTGTTCCTTGGTCTGGTCTGGTAAGGTCAGGTTTGGTCTCATATAGTCACAGCAGCGTCCATAGATACCTCTTCAGGATATGTGTTTTGTTTATTAGTTGGTGTGTGTGTGGGGGGGGGGAGGGGGATGTATCAGTAAGAATATCATTTGTAGGCAGGAAGAGACGTAAGGAATGATCGACCTAAAAGAGTAAGAAACTTCCTGAACTTTGTGGGAAATAGGAAGAGGAGGAGAAGGAGGAGGAGGAGGAGGAGGAAGGAGGAGGAGGAGGAGGAGGAGGAGGAGGAGGAGGAGAAGTGGAGGAGGAGAAGGAAAATAAGTGGTGGGTGGAGGGAGGAGGAGGAGGAGGAGGAGGAGGAGGAGGAGGAGGAAGAGGGGGAGAAGGAGGAGGAGGAGGAGGAGGAGGAGGAGGAGGGGATCTCTCACATCTCTTGAGGAAGGAACCTAGACTTCAAGGTGTCGAGGAAGGAAACTTTATTTTTTTTAAGCTTTGTGGAGAAGAAACGTGTCTTAAAGCTTAATATGGTGATTTTGAAACCCTTGAGGAACTTATGGATGAGAAAGAACAAGTTTTACGAGGAACTTAACTTAAACTTTGAAAGAATATGAACTTAACGAGCATCTCAAGTGCCATTATGATACGGAAGGTCAAAGTTCATGGAGGGTTTAAGTTATGGCTTGAGACTCTTTGGAGAGGAGGAGGAGTTATGGATTTTGGGGGGGGACAAACAGAGAGAGAGAGAGAGAGAGAGAGAGATAAAGACAGAGAGAGAGAGAGAGAGAGAGAGAGAGAGAGAGAGAGAGAGAGAGAGAGAGAGAGAGAGAGAGAGAGAGAGAGAGAGAGAGAGAGAGAGAGATAAAGACAGATACGAATAGACAGAAAGACAGAGGCAAAGACAGAGAGACAGACAGACTACACTAAAATATGAACTCTTAACGGATATATTGAACACCCCTTAAAAAACCACACCACCGGATAATACTAAAGCGGCATTTATTGTGAGGGGGGAAAAAAAACTCGACCGGAAATAGTATAGCGCCCTCGGCTTCCTTGACTCCATGTTTCCTCTTTGAGAAATCCCTACATGGCTGAGCGAGAGAGAGAGAGAGAGAGAGAGAAATACTAAAGAGGAAGAGGAAGAAGGGATGAGTAAGCAGAAGATGGTGTGGATGGTGAGGAGGATGGTGGGAGGTAAGACGATCTTAAGTTAGGTAGTAAAACAAATCCCCCAGAGTGATAAACCCAACTTGGGATGTCTCTCTTACGGCCGCCACAGAAATTATACGCACTATTGGGAGTTTAGGGACGTTCTGGATGTGGTCTTTGGGGACCTTTGGGGTTTGGGGTGTCCTCTAGGGGTCTTAAAAGGTTTTACGGTCTTGGGGTTAAAACGATCTTAGGGGGGGTCTTAGGTCTTATGGGTAATAAAGAGGGAATGGTCTTAGTGGTATAAAAAGATGGAAAGGTATTAGGTCTTTAAGGATAGGGAGGTGGGGGGTGTCTTGTAATTTGGGCTGCTGTAAGACCTAAAGGAAAAATGGGGTGAGGGACAAAGGTCTTTGATCAAGACTTCTGGCGTAAAAAAAAAGAAAGAGAAAATATTAACTGGTAAGCCCAACTGGCCACGGCTACCCATAAAAAAAATCCGTCTCATCCTGCCTTCTATCTTCCTCCTTTCTCTTTTTCCTATCTCTCTTTTTGTCTCCCTTTTCCTCTTTTCTCTTCCTTTCTTCCTTTTCCTCACTTTCTCCTTCTCCTCTTCTCAGTCCTCATATTCCTCTCCCCCTTCTCCTCTTCCTTATTTCTCCCTCCACCCTTTCCTTTCTCTCCCCCCCCCTGTTAGTTCTTTCTCGCTTCTTTTTCATATTCCTTCTCCCTCCCTCCTATCCACCTCTTCCTCTCCATCCTCTCCTTTCCTCGGAAATATTAACGACACAGGACAAAGTTTTCACCTAATCATAATCCTTTGTAAATTGTGAGTGACAGGAGCTGATTGCTTGTGTGTGTGTGGGGGGGGTGTGTGTGTGGGGGGTGTGTGTGTGTGGGGGGTGTGTTGTGTGTGTATGTGTGGGGGGTGTTGTCTGTGTGTGTGGGGGGTGTTGTGTGTGTGTGTGTGGGGGTGTGTGTGTGTGTGTGTGGGGGGGGTGTTGTGTGTGTGTGTGTGGGTGTGTGTGTGTGGGGGGGGTGTGTGTGTGTGTGGGGGGTGTTGTGTGTGTGTGTGTGTGTGTGTGTGTGTGTGTGTGTGTGTGTGTGTGTGTGTGTGTGTGTGTGTGTTGAGTATAAAAAACTAAAGAAAAGAGAAAGATAAAACACGATTATAACCCTTGGGGGCAACATAGTCGTATACACAATACTAATGACAAAATACATACCATAAAGTATTGTTATCCCACGTAAGCGGAGTGTGTTAAGCGGGGTTAATGAGAGGTGCTTATAACGCCCCCTTGTACTCATTAACTCTATCATATGCTATCATCAAGTAGTTCAAGAGTTTGTTTGCCAATGAGCTGGTAATTAATCATTGTCAAAGTACTATTTTGTTGTGAGTCAGAAGTGCAAAGTGTGTTTTACGAGTTGTGTATTAAATCGTTATTACTGTTATTATAGTAGAATTTTCAGCACGTGTTTATTGTTTATGCTAAAAGGTGTATTATGATGGAGTAATAAAATATGTTTATGAAATAGAATATGAAAAATTGGCAAAGTAAAAATATTAACTCGTTCCTTTATTCATTATTCATGTAATTAACAACACTAAACTAACTTAATCTTGTTGTCTTGTTGTTTACAGTGGTGAAGATGGGAAGTGTCAGAGAGAGAGGTCGACGGGGAGGTGAGGCCCCCGTGGTACAGTTCCTGGTGGTGGTGATGTTGGTAGTGCTGGCAGGAGGTCCCACAGGTCCTCTCCTCCTGCTGGGGGTGGTGAGCGCTGGGGCCTCCGCTTGTGACATCTCCGAGTATTCTTGTGAGGACGGTGGAGGATGTGTCTCACTCAGCCATTTCTGTGATGGTGTGGCTCACTGTACAGACTATTCTGATGAACCTCCAGGCTGTTCAGGTGAGAAATATTTATTTTTTTATCTGTAACTTAATAGTATCTTTTATCTTTATATGTCTATCTTTCTTTACTTGTTCCCTATCTCTCTTTATCACTTTCTATCTTTCTCAATCTGTGTCTCTTTTTTCACTCATTAATCACAAGTTTTAATCCATTTCTTTATGTTGAGTCTTCAAGTCTTGTGTTCACTCAACCATACTACCAAAAACCTATCAAAATCTCAAACTTTTTTCACCAATTTCTCCAACACGCTTTCTCTCCCTCTTCCTCACCACAAGGTCAATTAGTCACCTCCATCACTCCCTCACTCCTCCACCACTAGGTCCAGCCACCTTCACCACCAGTCATCCAACTCCATCACACCCTCCATCTCCTCCACCAGACCCAGCAATCTCCATTCCTCCCTCCCTCCTCCACCGCTAGACCCAGCCAACTCCACCACCTCCTCCACAAGGCCAGCCAACCACCTCCACTACCAGTCATCCACCTCCACATGACCATTACTCCGATATAACCACTAACTCCCTCAAACTCCCGACGAGGACCCAGTTCCACGTGACAGCTTCTAGTACTCCTCAAGATCCCGGCACAACTTTTTTTTCCTAAGAGCTTTTGGAGAAGAAATGAATAAGATTTTTTTCCCAGTTGACACACATGGACGAGTTTCTATTGCAGTTGTTGTAGTTCCTGGAGAGAAAAAAAAGAGTAATAATAATATTAGAAGTTATTTGGGAATGTGTATAGATATGTAAATAAATAAATAAATAAATAAATATATATATATATATATATATATATATATATATATATATATATATATATATATATATATATATATATATATATATATATATATATATATATATATATATATATATACTAAAAGTACATCTATAGTTAAATCCACGAGTACTAGAGAGTCGGAGGTGGGTGTAACACAGCGAGGCGGACTGGACAACATTTTTCTATATTCAAGTTCCAGTCGACGCTGATTGGCTATTCACGAGCATCAGCGCCATTCATCAATTGGGTTACAAGGCAGTTAAGCTCTTCTTCATCCTCTAGTTGAATTATCAATCAAGTTTTTTTTATATATAAAGGAATTTTCTATTTAAATTTACATAGGAATCAACCTGACAGTTCACAATATATTTCGGTATATAGATTTAAGCGTAGAGGAATATATTTCTTGGGCTGAATATGTAAGTGAGAGATAATGTCAATAACTATAGGCAAATAAACAAAGAGACAGAGAGATAGAAAACAATGAAAGAAAAAAAGAGAGAGAAGAGAAAATATTTACATATGTTTCTTGTGAGCACACACACACACACACACACACACACACACACACACACACACACACACATACATACATACATACATACATACATCACCCAACACCTGAACGTCTACTCCCTATGGGCCTTTGGTTAAGCTCTCGCACGCTACCTTGATGTGATTATTCCCATGTTTTATGGCCCCGAGCTCATTCATATTTTATGCCTCAACTTTCCTCATGTTTTTCCTTTTTTTTGTGGTGGTAGTTCATATGTTTTCTGAGTTACTTTATGTATTTTGTTGTTCCGGCCTTTTGTTTATGTCTTTATCCCTGGTTTAATTATTTCTATGTCTTGATCTTTGCATTTTATGTCTCACGGGTTGTTTACAGTATTTTATGTCTCACGGGTTGTTTACAGTATTTTATGTCTCACGGGTTGTTTACAGTATTTTATGTCTCACGGGTTGTTTACAGTATTTTATGTCTCACGGGTTGCTTACAGTATTTTATGTCTCACGGGTTGTTTACAGTATTTTATGTCTCACGAGCTGTTTACATTATTTATATCTCGTTTTCTTTAAAATTTTTGTCTCACGGATTATTTGCGTTTCCCTATGTATCGCGAGTTGTTTGCATTATCTCTCATAGGTAGTTTAGATAATTTTATGTCTCTGCGTTGAGACATCTTCCCTGAGCCACTACGAGAGGCAATAATGGTACAAAAGTTAGTGTGTTCACGTGCAGCTGATAACCCGATGTGGTGTTTCATAATATATAAGAGAGAGAGAGAGAGAGAGAGAGAGAGTGTAAGAACTGTCTCGGTCTCTCTTCTCCACTCTCTCTCTCTCTCTCTCACACTCTTGCACTCTCTCTTTCTCATTTTTTTCTCTCTCTCTGTGGACGGTGAGAAATATTTCCCACCACCGCTCAGAATCTATTCAGAAGTTTGAAATTAAAATGAAGTGTTTGAGAATCTGGTGATATTGGGTATCGATCTCCCACGTCCCCACACCAGAGGGAACACGCTTGGAGACTGCTGACTCCGTTTTCTCTCCAACTTTCTCTCGGGCTTTCTTTTTTGGATACTTTCTCTCAAACTTTCTCTTTTGCTTTCTTTTTTTACAATACACTTTCTTCAACTTTCTCAAGCACTTTCTTATTCTGGATACTTTCTTTCCAATTTTCTCAAACTATATATTCTGGTTTGCTTTTTTATACTTTTTTCGCCAAGTTTCTCTTTTGCTTTCTTTATTATACTCTTCAAATTTATCTCTAGATTTCTATTTTGGTAATTCCGTATAATGTTTTCTCCTCCTATTCTTTTTCTTCCTTCTCTTCACCACCCATATCTCGCTCGCTCTTCCTCCTCACCCCCCCCCCTACCTCATTACACGGTCCTTCAGTTTTCTGCCTCAGTCCTCATCTTTCAATCCTGTATCGAACTTCATCTTTATTATCGTCTTTTGTTTCTTCCCCCCTCGTCTTTATTCGTTATTATACTGCATTTCTTTTCTCTCCCTTGTGTTTTTATAATTCAGTTTTTTTTTTCAAATTTTATTTTTAATATTTGGCTTATTTATTGTGTTCGTATATCTTCTTTATTTTTATCTGTCCCAAAGTTTACCTCTTGCTCTCTCGCATTTCACAGCCTCCTCCTCCTCCTCTTGCCCAGCCTCCTCCTCCTCATGCCCAGCCTCCTCCTCCTCCTCCTGCCCAGCCTCCCTACTCCTCACCCAGCCTCCTCCTCCTCCTGCCCAGCCTCCTCCTCCTCCTCCTGCCCAGCCTCTCCCTCCTCCTCCTCCTCCTGCCCAACCTCCTTCCAGGACTTACACAGCCGCACCCGAGGCCTATAAAAACTCTACCTCATAAATCTCTCGCCCTCATAACCCATGCTGCCTCCACCTTCTATTCTACATCTTCTCCCCATTCTTCATATTCTCCCAGTTTTATATATATCTCCCCATTCTTTATCTTCCCATTCTTTATTTTCTCCCCATTTACATATTTCTTTCATTCTCTTTCCCTATTTTCCTCACACACACACACACACACACACACACACACACACACACACACACACACACCCTCTTCTCTATATTCATCTCCTGTTCTCCCTTACCCTCATCCCCCCCAGCACTCTCACTCTGGTGGCTCTTCTCTGCGTCATTCGTGAGTCAAATATATTCAGAGAGTCCCGTGGCTCTTTACTGATTATTTCAAGCCCACCCACACCCACGCTTGCCCGCATCTACGTCTGCCCATGCTCACCCTCGCATACCTACACACCCCCATGCACACCCACTCCCACTCTAGCCCGCACCCACGCCTGCCCCCACCCACGCCCGTCAACATCTACTCCCGCTTGCACCGACGCCCACTCGCACCCACGCCAGTCTGCATCCACGCCCGCTCACACCACACCCACGCCCGTCCATACTCACGCGCACCTACACCCACGCGCCCGCACACACCCACGCCTGCCCACACACACGCCCGTAACACTAAATCTTAAGTCAATTATCTATCTATCTATCTATCTATCTATCTGGTTCCACGTAGACCCCGATACAAAGATGGAGTAACACAACTTACCAGCCTGTATTGATACAATCTTTAACTGATGTTCTGAGACAATATAAAATTATCTCAATTATATGGTAAAAAGCGTCGACTCTGAGATGGTCTTAGCTCACAATCTGCTGGTAAGAGGAGGCCTGAATCGTGTATAATTGGTTTACGTGAGACACAAAGGAAAGAGAGTTGCTTGAACATCAGGAACATTTAGAATTTATTATTTTTGATTTGTCTGTCTGTCTGTCTGTCCTCTGTCTGTGTGTACGTCTGTTTATCTGTCTGCCTGCCACCTCTCACTCTCTGTCTCTCTGTACATCTGTCTGTATTAACTCTGTTTTTCTATATATATATCTCCCTCTCATTTTCTTGCAGCCTCTCCCTTTCTCTTTCTCTCCCTTTCTCCCCACACTCTCCCTTTATACCCTCCCTGCCCCATAAACACAAACATACACACTATGACGAAATGACAAATGAGTCTCTCCGTCCCTTAAGCCTCACGAGATCACGAGACTCATTATATCTCTCTATCATTCGGGAGTCATACATGCAATAATTTTCCTCAGCTATAATTATTCCCCCTTCTCTCTTTTATTCTCTTTTATCATCTGTGTTCCATCTACCTCTTTCTTCATAATGTACTTGTTATTACCTATTAAGAAACGTAAAACCTTCACTACGTGTTATAAACTAAGTCTCACTTTATTGGCCTGACTTAACCTTGAATATTAAGTTGAAAATATGTTGCTGCCTCGGTTATAAAATATGTAAATTAGTCTATATGCAGATGAGGGTAAGTGAGGACTCCAAGACATTAAGTTTTCTGCCGCTTTGATGGCGGGCCTGTTGTTGTTGTTGTTGTTGTTGTTGCTGTTGTTGTTGTTGGTGGTGGTGGTGGTTTTACAGCTGTTATTATTGTTATTATTATTGGTGTTGTTGTTGCTACTATCATTATCATTCTTATTACTATTATTACTAATATTTGTCATAATATTCTTGTTGACTTCTTCTTTTTCTCCCTGTTTGCTTTTCCCTTATACCATCCTCTCTCTCTCTCTCTCTCTCTCTCTCTCTCTCTCTCTCCTCTCTCTCTCTCTCTCTCTTTTTTACAAGGAAGACAAACAGCTGGGCAGATGAAGCTTAGCAACAATCATTTGCATACCACAGTGGACTCCCTCTCCTTTTCCTCCTCAGTAGTCAGGTTCTGACTTCCCTAGACATTGGATACAGACTTTTACAAACTTCCAAATTGAAGTTATTCCCAGTTTCTTGAGACTCTCGGTGGACAAACAATAGTGAGATGGAAGTACCGTAGTTTTTCTAACCTTTTTAATCTTGTGTTTTTTGGATAAGTGGCATTTGAAGTTTTTTATTTTAGTTTTTAATTTGATTTTTTTTATTATATTTTTTGCATTGTTTACATCATTCCTCGAGTCTACACACACACACACACACACACACACACGGTATATATTTATGTGTATATATAAATGTCTCTATAGCAACCTGTCTTATATTCTTTTAAAGATTTAATCTGGATATCCGGTTAATCCCACGAAATCCTTTTTTTCCCTCTCTATTCCCCTCTTCTCTCTCTCTCTCTTTATCACTCTTTCTTCCTCCTCTCCTATCATCCCCTCCCCTCCGTACCTCCCTCTTCGGTCTCACCAACGCACTTCTTGTATCTCTCTATTTCTCGCTGAATCTTCCTCCCTCACACACTCACTTCTACCCGCTCTCTCCCCGTCCCTCCCTCTTACTCCTCCATTTCCCTACCTCACCCACCCACCCACCCCACTCACTCACTCTACTCCCCCACCCACCGTACTCAACCACCCACTCATTCCCTCTCATTCTCTCCCCCATTCAGTGTGTAATCGGACCTTCTACGGTTACGTGGACCACACATACCAACTAGAAGTACCGGCTCCTCCAGCATCCCGCGCAGGACCACCACCAGCTGCTTCCAACCCGCTGATCCTTCTGGGGAGCACCTCACTTTCTGATGGGTTCAAATGCATCCTCACCTTCACCGCCATCGGCAGAACTCACGGGGACATCATCCAAGTCACCTTCTCTGAGTTCCACGTCGGGCATTTCAACGACGAGGTTACTGAAGGTGAGTGAGGAAGATGATGAAGATGAGGAGAGAGAGAGAGAGAGAGAGAGAGAGTGTGTGTGTGTGTAAAGGCAAGATGAGATAGAGACACACACACACACACACACACACACACATTTACAAAAGACCTAGAGTCTATAGTCTTTTTTAAGATTCCAAACAGAAAAAAAAAATATCCAGAAATAACACCGAAAAAAAAATATTGCATATCCATAAAAAACGAAAAAAATAAATATAAAACCAAGAAAAAGAAAAAACTGGGAATCTTTTAGAGAAACCGAGGGAGTGTTGCCAGCAGTAATGAACAAGTTTGAGCAAACACCCCAGAGATGTGCACTCACGAGATCAAGGAAACCATTAGCTAGAGAGGATGGCTAGGGATGGCTAGGACTGTGATTTCTACCTAGAAGGATGGCTAGGGATGGCTAGGACTGTGATTTCTACCTAGAAGGATGGCTAGGATTGTAAATTCTAAGCAGAAAGATGGCTAGATATTAACCAAGTCACGCCTACGCCTTATTAGCATTAAGAAAACCGGACGTAGAAAAACAAACATATGATCTCTAAGAACTTGAAGGAGATCAGTTTTGTAACCGAGAGATAAAACGGATTAAAACAAAGTGACGAATCGAGGAAGTTGCCGGAGATACAGGTTTGTTGAGATGTAAACAGTAATACTAGTTTACAAGTTAAGGAGGTCGTATAGCTCAAAGGCAGCCATGAGTCCTTGTAAAGACGCCAGTTGTGGATCCTCTTGGTTAGGTCTTCTGGAGGAGGGAGGGCGGGGAGGGGGTGAGGAGGGACGGGGAGGAGGGAGGAGGGGCGGGGATGGGCGAGGAGGGGCGGAGAGGGGTAGTGGTGACCTAGAATGTAATGTTATTTGGGAAGGCTAAAATTATAGGAGACGTTGCTATATAGGAATGTAGGGAGTGAAGCCTTGACATGGAGGATAGGATAGGATAGAGTAACTTGGGGAGGTGTGTGTTTAAGTTTTATGGTGATAGTTAGTGGGGTTTTGTCACTATACTACGACCATGACCATTCTATTATCACCACCACCACCACCAACATCATCACCACCACCAACATCATACCACTACCCCACCACCCACCACCAACATCATCACCACCACTACCCCCACCACCACCACCACCACCACCACCAACATCATCACCACCTACCACCACCACCACCACCACCACCAACATCATCATCACTACCCCCACCACCACCACCACCACCACCACATCATCATCACCCACCACCACCACCACCACCACCACCACCACACCACCACCACCACCACCACCACCACCAACATCATCATCACCACCACCACCACCACCACCACCACCACCACCACCACCATCACCACCAACATCATCACCACAACAATCATCCATTCATCATCATCACCAACAACCACATTAACTACCATCCCCTTCCAATCATTCTCATCACCTACAACCTCTACAAGCATCCCATCTACCACCACTACCACAATCTTCGTTGGCATCCTCACCCATTACCAACCAATACACACAGACATCTCTCATCTTCACTATCCTCAGCACCACCAACTACCACTCTTACTATCCTCACCATCACCAGCACCACCCCTCATTACCACCGCCCACCACTATCCTCACTGCCACTATCACCACCACCTACCACTATCACCACCACCCACCCACCACCACCTACCACCTACCACTATCATCACCACCACCACCACTATGAACCCACAACAAGAGACACTTTGCCTCTCCAATTTTCAGAGACAAATTCCCTGGGAGTGAAAGTTTCATTAAAAGTGCTGTCCCCCGTTGCCGCCAAATTCCTGTCGCATCCCATTTTCAGGACCCGCCAGGCTGGGGTCATTACCTAACTATTAAAGCCTTCTCCGTGTAAGATATGACGTGCTTTCCAAAGTTTTCCTGATAGCGTGATCGCGGGCAGATACCTCCAGAGACGGATAGTAATGTTCATACTACAGGCGTAACTCTTCTACTAATTCAATAGAACCTTAGTGTAGGAAGTGAATTCGCCCGAGGCCCAAAGGGTGTCTCGATATATTTAATGGAGTTTTATGGTTCTTCTTCGTCGATAATAAAAAAAAAATAAAATAAATGGAATGTTGAAAGCACACACACGCACAGAGAAACATTCCTCCTTCCTCTCTCTCCTTCACCTACCACACCACCCCTTCTCTTTCTCTCTCTCTCTCTCTCTCGTTCTCTCTCACCCCCACACCCTCCCTCACACACTCACCACCACCACTCCCAAAAGCAGTAACGTCTTGTCCGACATGACCGCCCGTGTAATATCCCGACTGTCCGCCCCTTAAGATCAAGGACTCACGTTAGTTGCAAGGGAGTTATGCTGATGGGAGCCTGGTAATGAGTATTTGGTATTAGTTTCGGGAATTTAGTATTAGAAGCCATAAAATAGACATACTTGGACATATCCCTTGGAATTACGAGATATTTAAGGATATACATTAATATTATACGTTTATATATGTCTTTATGTTAAGGAGTATGTCTTAATGTCTATTTTGTCCTCTATCTGTTTCTCATTTATTAGTTATTTCTTTGTCTTTCCTTCGTGTATTTTTCTCTCCTCGTTTCAACATCCGAACTTCAAATTTTTCTTCGTTATCTCACCTTTTTTTTTTTTACTGTGTTTTGTTTCTCTTTATCTTTTATCTCTCTTTTTCTCTATCTTAATATCTTTATTTTCTCTTTCTCTCTCTCCATCTTTCTTTGTCTGTCTCTGTCTCGCTCTCTTTTTTTTCTTTCTAGAGTTATCCTCCCCTCACCACCATTACCATTACTACTACCATCACCACCATTACCATTACTACTACCATCACCACCATTACCATTACTGCTACCATCACCACCACTACCATTACTACTACCATCACCACCACTACCATTACTACTATCATCACCACCACTACCATTACTACTACCATCACCACCATTACCATTACAACTACCATCACCACCACTACCATTACTGCTACCATCACCACCAACAGCGTCTCGTTAAGTCTTCCCAGGGTGCCAGTGCCAAGTCAGGTTCTCCACAGAGTGTACAGTGCCAGATCAGGTTCTCCACAGTGTACAGTGCCAGGTCAGGTCAGGTCCTAGAAAGAGTATACAGAGCCTGGTCACGTCTCCACAGAGATTATAGTGCCAGGTCAGGTCCTCTTAGGGTGCCAGTGTCAGGTCAGGTCCTCCTAGGTGCCAGTGTCAGGTCCTCCTACAAAACACTAAGGTCTTCATGGCCTCCTCTTGTGCCGTTTATCTCGCCCCGACTCTCGCTAATGAGGCAATTTAAGGTCGTTTAGTTTGTTGTGGTGGTAGTTACTGTGTGGCAGCCCTTGTGGTTGTCCTGATATTGTCAGCATTCACGACTACCACCAGGTTCATAGTGTGTGTACTGTATATATATATATATATATATATATATATATATATATATATATATATATATATATATATATATATATATATATATATATATATATATATATATATATATATATATATATATATATTAGAGAAAGAGAATAAAGAGAGATATCTGTAAAGGCGTATGTGTATTATGTCAAAATATTGCATTAATAATAATCATAATAACTAACCCCATTTTCCCCTATGACCCATGACAACCAATGTCATTTTCTCCTATTTCCTCTCTCTACTTACTCTACTTCCCATGTTCCACATCACTGCTAATCCCCCAATTTATTCTAACTCCACTTTCCTCCACTACACAGAAGGTCGTGTGGTTGGGTGTACAGGAGATCACGTCAGCATTGAGGAGCCCAAGTTGCCGGTGCGGGGAGGGAAGTGGTGTGGGGAGGGTAGCGGCCTTAATGTGTACTACAGCGATTCGGACACAGTGAGCGTTACCCTCCACGCCGCCTCCACCACACAGGGGGAGTACTTCGACAACCCCCTTAAGTTCAAGATTAAGTAAGTGTGTCTTAGAGCGTTTAATTAATGTTCAAGTTCAAGTCAGTACAACAAATTTGATTGAATTCAAGTTGGAGTGGTAGAGTCGGCTGAGGGAGGATCTCGATACAGCCATTCAAGGGTTGGACGGTTCCCTGGAGCTCTGGATCTTGTACTAATTCTCTTAATAGTTCAAGGTTAATGTGAATGAACCAAGAAGGTTGATTTTTAAATTAGACAAATCACCGCCGCCAGGTGAGTCCACGATAACGTTATTGGTTGTGTGTGCTGTAAGTTATGGCTTAAATAAGTGTTAAGTAGATAAATTCATGAGGAAGTTAAATGGCAAGAGAGAGAGAGAGAGAGAGAGAGAGAGAGAGAGAGAGAGAGAGAGAGAGAGACTAATTACACAATATTCTCCTCAGCAGGTAACACACAGCCACTAACCCCCAGTATCTTGGTGTTCTTGCAGGTACAAGTTTTTGCGCCGTGAGCGGGCCATAGTGAGGTACGGCCGCGGGGGCAGCCTCGCGAAGTACCGTGGGGAACCGGTAGGTAACAGCGCGTGTAGCCGAGTCTTCCAGGGGTGCCGGGCCCGGCGGTGTCGCCTCCAGTCGCCCAACTTCCCCGGGCTGTATCCCCGTAACGTGACCTGCTACTACCTGGTCAAGGCCCTTCCTGCGCCATCCCCTGACCTACTGCCTGTGGTGACTCTCAGACAGGAAAATGACCGCCTGGTTCAGGTGGGTCGTCAGAAACCCGGGAGCCAAGTGTCCCCAGAGTCACACCTGTGGCAGGATGATGAGTGCCAATCCCCTGAGGACTACCTGCTGGTGTACGACGGCGGGTCCATGAAGGCGCCGCTTCTGGCCAAGATGTGTGGGACAGCCACCATCCCCAATATTACCTCGAGCGGGCCAGAGATGTTGGTAGTGTTCCAGACTGCCATCTCCGGCAAGATGAAGCATTTCTCCAACTTAGTGACTGGCTTTGAACTGGAGGCTCATGTGTTGTTCATGAAACAGAACCCAAGCCGTGTAAACAGTGCGCCGTGTGCTCAGATCATCAAGAGCTTCGACGGTAGTGCCGGTGTTGTGTCCAGCCCAATATACGCTCTTCCGGCTAATGCCTCCTGCTCCTACGAGTTTCAGGGGCGGAGGAACGAGGTCGTTTGGATATATTTTACAAAATATCACAGGGCACGGCAGAAAGAGGTTATGATGAACTACATACCGTGTCGCAATCGCCTTGCTATCTATGACGGAACTACGTTATCCGATAACAAGTCAGAAATCTCGACTTTAATGGGAGAATACTGTGATGATCTGCTGCCGCCGATATGCGTGAGGTCACGCCAGAAGGGGACAGTGAGCCACCCGTGCACGCTGAAGGAGAGCTTCCTGTCCACGGGAACTTCTCTCTTTATCACACAGGAGTTCACGGAGGGTACCAGCCTTTTCCCACACAACTACGTCATTCAGTATGAGTTTGTGAGTTTGTATCAGCCTGGGAAGGAGTCTGGTAGTGACTGTGACCGCGTGTTTACCAGTGCTCAGGACAACAAAGGACATTTTAGCTCTCCTAAAAACGTGTTTCTATATGGTCGTGGAGGCAAATCTTCCCTCTCTTGTAAATACACCTTCCAGACTTTGCCGGGTGAGGCGATAAAACTGAAAATCACAAGCGTGGGATTTCGTGGCAACATGTGCAAGACGGTCCACAACTTCCAATCGAATCTTTACGAATGCATCGCACGTCTGCCTGGCTCAGCGGTGCTGGAGGTGTGGGAGGAGCCATGGGGCCACACTCGCCTCCCACTTGGCTGTATGTGTGACGCGGGAGTCACACCCTCAACTTTCGTCAGCCACACACGTCTTGTCCAGCTCAAGTTTGCTGTCAAGGAAATGAACTGGAGTCAGGACTTCAAAGATTTCTTCTTTGATGCAGAATACCAGTTCATCAAGACGAGAGAGTGTACGGATGAGCGGATCCTCAACGGGTCGACAGGGTCGATTACGATACGGAGTGATGATGGCTTCGCAGACTGTATTGAATACCCGTGGAAGATCGTGGCCCGGGAACACAGCCATCTGTACCTGAATATCCCCGGCTACCACGCCTCCAGCCAGCGCTGCTCCACGGAGAACAGGGTGGTGGTGTACGGCAGTCACACCGCCAGGCCCATCAAGGCCGTGTGCCCGGAGACCAGCGGCACCGACAGTGTGGACATATTCTCATCTGGCTGGAATTCGGCGCTAGACCTAACGGAGCCCCGCCCTGACAGCCTCATCATCCGCTTCTTGTCCAGGGAGCCGGCCAAGTATAAGCTCACCTGGCTGGAGGTGCGTCGGGAGCCTCGCCCATCGGCTCTAGAGTCCCTCAAGAGTGCGGGAGGGCGTGGTCACAACACAGGGGCCTCTTGCCCTCACCAGTGCCCTGAGCTGGACGCTTGTATCAGCCCTGAGTTGTGGTGTGACGGGGTGAAGCACTGCCCGTCCGGCGCTGACGAGCTACGTACCACTTGCCTCTACTTCACCGTCCCTTGGCTCTACCTGATCCTCGGGGCTGTGGCTCTTCTCGTCTGCTTGCTGGTCTTCGCCTCCGCCCTCGTCGCCGTCAGGATCTACCAGCGAGGCAAAGTTAAGAGGAAGAAGAAGAAGGAGGCCCAGAGATTGATGACTCGGGAAGTCATTCTTCCACTGAACTTCCACAAGGAAAACATTTACTGAGGTTGTCGGGAAGAGTCAGTGACACAAACAGGATATTACCTCCTCAACTCCCAGACTCCTCTTCCTCCCCTTCCTCCATTTACTACAACTGGCCGTCTTGTCATGGCTAATTTTTATATCCAGTTTTGTATAACTTGTTTCCACGAGGGTTCTAGGATGGTTCTTACACTTTGTAAATACTTATATATATTTTTGGTTTTGTTTACAAATAACCCGTAGTGAGTGTGAGAGAGAGAGCGAGTGAGAGAGAATTTCTAGGTAGTTGAACACTTTGTACACCCACGATCATAACCCACCCCCTAGACGTTTGTGAGAGTAGTGGTGATATTTCTACATACTACCAGTCGCCATGCCTTACACACTTGGGGAGGATGCGATTCCCTGCCTCTCCGTATATTTCGGATCAAATTCATAGCCGCACAGGATCCGACAGGACCTCTCCCATATCACAGCCTGGGGTCTTTACGGTTGGGATGGTCGCCTGGTACTCCCACATATCTTAATTTTCAATGATTCATAAGATAAAAAAAAATCCTTTTATTGGAAGAATGGGAAGAGTTTCACAGCTTTTTTGACGTAAATCTGGTTTCTATCTTTGTGTCGTAGGTTAAGTGAACCAGCTAAATATGTCCTCGCGCCTCCAGTTACTGTAAGACTCTGGTGTATGAGCCTTTGGGGTGAGTCTCGTGAACTTGTACCATTGTAACCTATGAAAGTGGTGTTACTGATCCCCCGTGTGAAGTAGCTAACCTTATATACTGATATTTTAGCTCTCTAATTAATACCCCCCCCCTCCCCGTGTCAACACCTGGCGTCTCACACGTAGAGAACCGCATCGTGAGTTAATTTTATTATACCAAACCTAATCAAACATAACTTGGACCAAAACTAACGTAAAATTACCTCACCTACCAAAGCCTAACCTAAGCTTAAGAATCCTTACCTAATCTAACTAAACCTTATCTAAATTAACCAAATCCAATAAGCTCTTAACTTAGCTTAATCTAACTTCAACATCCCTTAACCTATCCTAACTTAACCTCACCAAACCCCCGAGTATTGTGAGAGAATATGACACAAGATTTCCACCGTAACTGTAAACGCGAGGAAACTACTGACTGACTCACCTGACCTACAACTTAAATGCCGAAGACCAAGACCAAGATGGCGTCGACATTATGCTGTTAAGAACATGACGAGTTGTTAAGGGAGCAGGTGTGCCAAACTCTGGGTGTTAACAATACCCGGATCCGGAATCAGACCAGGAACCTAACCTAACTTAACCTAATCTACCTTATCTGTAGCCCTAATCTAACCTAATCGAAGCCCTAATGTGACCTAACCTAACCTATGATGATCTACCCCAAACTCTGACCTCACCTAACAACCCGCTACTCTCATCTGTAGTTCCGGCTCCGGGGCGGACGTTAGGTCAGGGCGCTGGACCTGGTTCTAGTAGCGGGGTGGACCTGTGATACGTCACCACCGTCACTGTCAGAGAATCACTTGTTGTATTAAGACCTGGGAAGACTTTTGATTGTTGGTTTGTGAATTATATATATATATATATATATATATATATATATATATATATATATATATATATATATATATATATATATATATATATATATATATATATATATATATATATATATATATATATATATATTACACAAAAGGTGATGTGCACAAAGCATCAGGACAAAGTGTTCCCTGTAGGCTAGTTTGTGGCTTTACTGAACAAGAGAATAAAAAAGTCGATAAAATTCTAACCATAATTGTGATAAGAAAAAATATGTTTAAACACTGTAAAAAAAAGCGTATTTAACACATATCGAAAGATGTTTTTAATGTTTGGGTGTAGTGTGGTGTTTACAGTATGGAACTCTGCCAAGGTAGATTTATACATTGTGTGGAATGAATAAAAAAAATAAAAAACTCTATCTCTTAAGATGAAGCGCCATTGAAAGATATTCGCCTAGATCTGCTGTTAATTATCTATTGCTATATTCTATAGAGTCTATGTGACGCTCCCATGAGAGGCCCACAGCTGCATGAAGTATGTTCACTGGTGTATCCTGGTGACCTCGGCCCCACAGGAACTCCTAAACTAATATACAGGTGAACTGTTCTACCTGACACAAAACAAGAATATATTAACAAACAAAATATATGTATAAAATAATCAATAGTTGAGAAGATACGGTGAGACAAATTCTTACTTGAGAGAAAGAGAAAAATCCTTTACAAATTTATTAATCTCTTAAGAACCTTTTATTAATGAGGATATTTACCTTTAATCAAATTCTTAAGTAAAAATATATATATAAATAAAGTAAAACGCATTAATATAATTTGTAATGAAGTTGAAGCATCATTAATTCAATGTCTCAATAAGCCAGGTTCAATAACTCGTACTATTTACATCACAAAGTTCGCCGAGTCTCTAAAACAACTTTTGTAATATTTCCAGAAACAGTAAATGGTTTATAAGTCTTAATAAGCTGCACTAAGGAGAGCCAATACACAATGTTTCCAGTAATTATTTCGTTTCGTTAATATTAGTAGAAATTAAGTCATATTATGGCCTCAGATACTCTTTCACAGATTAATAGTTTATATTTAATGATATTTTATATTCAGTGATGTTTGAGGGATCAAATCTCATTCCAAGTCTTCATAATAGTATTGCATCTCTTATGGCGGACGTTTCCCAAGAATGTTTTGATATTATGGAGATATTTAAATAATTTTTTCTACTTTCAACCTAATTATGATATACAATATTATGGTTTAACCCTTTCACTGCGGGAGGTTACCCTAAGCTGAATAAAATGGCAAGTGCGTGACACGTGGTGAAAGGGTTAATCGAGCTAGGTTTTAATGTGAACACTAACGAAAATTTTTCAATATCTTAGAGTTTAAATGATAACTTAATAAAGAGTATTGTTTACAGAAGGTAGAATAAAAGTCAACTGTGCCCGGATGAACCTCAATGTATCTTCTAGTCACTTCTAAGAATGTTAATGACTCTTTATAACATTATCACAAGTTCTATCAAAAGTTTGTAAATATCTAATTAATTTGGATAAACACAAAAGAAAAAGCTTCTCGTCTACAAGGATAGACTCAAGTATTACCTGATATTAGTTTACATCATGTCCTGGCTCGCCTGATGGTCTTGACTTGGCAATATCTTTCCTTGGAGACCCGCGTGTCCTGAAAGGGAAATTCGAGAAGATATTTATAAAAAAAAAAAATATGTAGCGACCCCCTACACGTGTTCTAAATGTTACTGTATTTTTGTACCGTAATTTTGTAGAATGAGTATTTTTGCAATAAAAGATGATGACAAAAAAGATTGAGTTGGTTTTATTTATGCCAGAAGTTGAATGTTTGTGTTCTCATCTTCAACTGAAAGTAAGTATAAAGTATATTTAGATACCCACAGATGAAAAACAAAAGAAGGTAAAGCAAATACAAATATACAATTTAAAACTGTTTATTAATCATACCTAATAAGAATGGCTGACACATCGAGGAATGATACTGAATACTCTTAAACCAATGTCATATATAATAAGTCAAATACCTTTAGCCTGTCATTCATTTACGTCAGGTAACAGTGTATCAGGTACACGCAAATCACCTATACAGCAGGGATGGGAACCTCCAGAACTCTTCCAGGTTACACAAAAAAGTTGCAACAGAAAAATCAGTCAAAAAATGTTGCAACCAAGATGAACAACCATAGGAGCCAGATAAAGTGTGTGTGAAGGTAAAGTGTTTAGCTACTTCAGTTTTGGAGCTAAGGCTGGAACAGACAGATAGATCGCCACATACACTGACAGACAGACATATACGTCATTTAATATAGCCTGTAATATACCTATACCCACTCCCCAACTACAAGCGCACACACACACACACACACACACACACACAATAGTCCCCCTACACACAAACATCCACCACCCCCACACAAACATCCACCACCCCCCCCACACAAACATCCACCACACCACAAACATCCACCACCCCACACAAACATCCACCACACTCCACACAAACATCCACCCCCCTTGGTACACAGACTGATAGATACGGATATTATTTGTCAACGCATAGCTGATGGGGTATTTTAATTGTCATCATATTGATAGTGAAGAGCAGCGGTGTTGGTACAATCTATACCCCGTGTATCATGACAGACAAGTTCAAATTTCACCCTCTGTAACACGAGTCGCCCTGCTTTGGAATTATGTGAAATATGAGGCCCTTTTGTGAGCGTGGAATCAAGCGATATTATTGTCAATTAAACCAGGAAGGGCTGTAGTCTTTTATGTGGCATTTTGATCACGGGGGAAAATTATATTGAAATGGACGCGTTTGTTGTTGACGAAAATGATGACAAGTTGGTGGGGTGGGGGGAGGGAGGGAGGGACTTATGTATTGTTGTCGTTTGTGTTGAAAGTCCTGATGATGTTTGCTAAATACAAAACACTAGGAGATGTAAGAGATTATATAAATTATACCACAGGTGTATCTTTACAAAACTGAGTGTAGACAGACAGGTAAAGGCTAGATATATAGATGCCTGAGCTAGAAGATTCTCCCATAACCATTTCGTCTCCCTGCCTCACTTCACAAGAGTAATCCACTCAACCAATCACCATTACATTTCCTCTAATACATCCAATCAGTTTTACTCAGTTTAATGCCTTTGCCAGTCAGCGAACTGACAGTCAAGTTTCTCACCCACCTAACTGTATGAACGTGTGGCACAGTCTTATATGGAGAGTCATTAGTAGTTTATTATGATGACGATCTTTATTACCGTTCATATGTAGGTATGACTCTCTCACCTCCGTTCCTTCACTAGAGACATGACTACCTCACACAAACCTTTATATAACAACCAATCAGAAGCGAGTTAAAAATAATAATCCATACAGAACAGTCCCTTTAAATCCTGCCTTTGAAAAAAAAAAATCACTCATGCTAACTAATATTATCATCTGAACCAAATTGTTATATAGATTTCTGCCTATTGAAATATATCGACTTGGCTCGCCTTCATTAAACATTCAGCAGTAATAAAAAAAATAATGTAAAGTTAATTCATTTTCCTAAGCAGCTGATTGAGTGTTTTATTTACATATATTTAGGTAAACTTTCAAAAAATTTCCTTCCAGGTCTCAGGTAATCAGGACTTCGATCGTATCAATGGTTAAATTAGTATTCACGGGCCCAACATATCATCACCGGAGAGGGATATATGCTGGGGGGGGGGGCAGTGAAGAAGTCTTAACGAGTATTGCTTTGTGATGTGTCTGTAGGAGTGCGGAAGAATGTTTAGTGGTGGAGAAGAATGTTTAGTGGTGGAGAAGAATGTTTAGTGGTGGTGAAGAATGTTTAGTGGTGGTGAAGAATGTTTAGTGGTGGAGAAGAATGTTTATTGGTGGTGAAGAATGTTTAGTGGTGGAGAAGAATGTTTAGTGGTGGAGAAGAATGTTTAGTGGTGGTGAAGAATGTTTAGTGGTGGTGAAGAATGTTTAGCGGTGGAGAAGAATGTTTAGTGGTGGAGAAGAATGTTTAGTGATGGAGAAGAAGAAAGATGGTGGAGAACGATGGTGTAGAAAAAGTAATTAATAAGCAAGGAAACAAAAACAAGAAATATATACACAAGAAATAACAAGAAATAATACAAAAAAAAGAATATGACTCCAAAGAAAAAGAATAAAAGAAGAAAAACAAAAAAAAAGAATGAAATATAAACAGAATAAAACACATCTGTTATATAATACAAAATTAAAACAACAAATAATAAAAAATTTCAACAACAAAAACGAAAACATGAAAAAAAAACAATGTATGGCCTCTCTTCTCATCCCATCAGACATGAACTTATACAAAAAAAAATAATAATATCTTCATAGTGAGCATTCGCCTCGGTGGGCCAAAAATACTGAGAATTTACGTCAAATACTTCACGCCTGGGGTAAGGAAAACTCATACTAACAACAGTAGCCCCAGGTAATACTCGGAAGGAATTATAACATATATTTGCAGACTAAGTGATTTAATGATATCTTACAGACGCCCTCCACCCAAGCCAGGCTAAGAAACGACTATGCAGGTATGTGTATGTTTATATTCTCACACACACACACACACACACACACACACACAACAAAAACATCAATAATAACATCAAACTACTTTTTTCCTCGCCAAGGTGCCCTAACGAGACGAAGCCAGAACGAGACACCAGTCATCAAACCCAGCCTTTACGACACTTGTGATCCGCTGTATATCTCGTGAACTTCCTCCCTCACTCGCTCTTACAGACGCTCTTATTTACTGATGTGAGTTTGTGTGTGTGTGTGTGTGTGTGTGTGTGTGTGTGTGTTTATCATTGTTGTTACTGCATTTATATTTATCTATAATGATAACAACGATATCATAATTTGTGTGAGTGCTGTTATTATTATTATTATTATTATTATTATTATTATTATTATTATTATGATTTCGGTTATTAAAGCAATTATACTCATTTTTATTATATATCTATTATTATTATTATTATCACTATAATTATCTTTAAAATGATCATCCAACTTTATTCTTCACTGCCTCGTATCATCCCTTTCGCCCAATTAACCAAACTACCCGTCTACCATCTACCCGTCTACCATCTACCCGTCTACCATCTACCACAAGCTGCTCATCACCTACGGTCATTTCTCCCCCTCCACTGCCTCCCGCGGCCACAGGAAGGTCTTACGACAACCGCTATAGTCGATCCCTCAATCAAGAGTTACTGCTGGGCCGAGTCTTATGTTCACATATAATGTTATAGAGGGACGTCACTTCTCCTGACTGTGCTCTGTGTGTGTGTGTGTGTGTGTATGAGTCATCCACACGAGGAGGTGACCCAGTGTCGACACGTACATTGGACACAGGTACAATGTCGTATAATCTGTGTATATTCTGGGTTCTTATGTAAATTAGCCATTACTGTTGTCTTGGTCATACTCGTCATCGTCTTCACAGTCAGCCACTTCTTCTTGAACGGTAATAATGGTTAACTAAAGACGTCGTAATACAGAGACAAAAGAAAAAAGTTTATAGATTTTTTTTTAGCAAGTCTCTCTCTCTCTCTCTCTTATGTTCTCATCTTGTTCACATCCTCTCTCTATCTACCCTTCTCTACCCCTCACACACACACACACACACACACACACACACACACACACACACACACACACACACAGACTGACAGCTGGTTAGAAATTAAAATAAAGACGCGTGTATAGGGTTTCATTTTCCAGGAGTTGACCCAAGATCGTAAACAAATATTGTGTACTGAAAGAAAAGACGTATTTTTGGTCTGAGGAACAAAAATTTTATACTTACAGAAACATACAGTCATTCATTAACCTTATGTCTGTCTGTCTGTCTGTCTGTCTGTCTGTCTGTCTGTCTGTCTGTCTCTCTACAACAGGAACAATTACGCAAACAAACTATGCTGATCATCATATGCAAATTTAGCGTCAAACTATTGCATTATAAAACTGTAACACAATAAAATAGTTGAGGAGCTCGCTCTTAATTATTAGAATTTCAATGAGGAATTAATGAACGAGGACTTGGTGTGTGTAAAATGTATGTATGTATGTATGTATGTATGTATGTATGTATGTATGTATGTATGTATGTATGTATGTATGTATGTATGGCGGTGGAAATTGACGACAAAAGATGGATTTATTTTTCATATAATTTATGAAAAGATTGATAAAGAAAGGAATGGAAGAAAGAAATAACAAATACAAATAATGAAAGAAAAATAATAGAGGAACGAAATAAATGAAGAAAAAAGAAGGAAAATAAAAGAAAATGAAAATAAGGGAAAGAATGACCCCAAGATCAGTCTTTTCTCAGCAGCCTGTTGAGTTCCAGTGTGTCTACGGCTTCTGTTTTCCTCTCTCACTCTCTCTCTCTCTCTCTCTCTCTCTCTCTCTCTCTCTCTCTCTCTCAGTCTCCTGTCTTTAAACTCTATTTTTCTCTTTACTATATTTTTTCACTTCTCCTTAATACATTTTTTTTAATAGTTATCGACTTTATTTCTTTTCTCCCTCCTTCCCTCTCTCTCCCCCTCTCTTTTTTTTTCTCTCTCCCGTGTTAAATCTTTTTTTCTTTTTGCTTTCCTCTATATTTTTTCTCCTGGTTTATTTTTTCTCTTCACCTTTATCAATAAATCTCTATTTTCTCTTGATTTATCTCTTATTCTTTTCTCTCCTTCATCTCTTATTCTTCTTTGTTCCTTTTTGGATCGATTCTCTCCTTTTCTTT